TATCAACGGCCCCAACGCGGAGGACATGCCCGCCACTGTAAGAACTTCCCCAGACGCCAATCCTCTCCGGATCAACTTCACTCCGCGACTGGGCAAAGGTAATGGCATCGGATATATCGGCGACTTGGAGATCAGGAACAATTTCCTGCCTCGGTTGACCTGGCCCAGTATCGCTGTCCCCGAGTCCTCGGTTGTCATAAACCACACAGGCCATCTTGAGCCGGCTGGTAAAGCGTTCGGCGAAAGCGTCAAGATCCATCTCTTTCAATGCTGAGAATCCATGGCAGAGGACCAGGCATGGCAGCTTGGATGGATTCGCTGTTGATGGCAGGTAAAACCACCCTCGAAGGGTGACACCGTCAGATGTAGTAAACTCTATATCAGAACGAGGCATCTTTTACAATTGAGGAAAAAGTCGATAGTAATGTCTATTGAGTGTACTGGAGGGCTGGATCTAGGTTCCTTTAAATCCTTTAAATGAGAAATCATGTCTTAGACTTGGCTTGCTTCTGTCGGTGATTGAATGGTGCCCGGACGTGCATCTCGTGCGGTATCTTGATTAACGCGGCGTCTTAATTTCCCCGGCTTCTCAGCTTATAGGCGGCTTCTCGGCTTGCCAGCAATCACTCAGGTAAACAATTTGTCACCCTCAGCTAGGCTTTGCCTATTCAGACATACAAAACTAGTATGACTTTTATGATACTTTATTCTACAAGCTAATACTACTCTCGATAGTTTCTGCTGGACGACCATGGATATGCGAAATAAAACAGAAGGAAGTGAATTATTTCTAGTAGAAAGGCCTGGCCGATTTGCAGAATTGCGCCTCTACCGGGAATTATACTTTTAAATCTCTTAGACTCATGCAATCTAGTCCCTTTCATGAGAACATCTTTGGTTCACAAGTCCCTATAGACGAACCTTACTTGAAACTTACGCAATGCTCAACTATCTGCATCATTAGGAGCCTGGGGCGCCACCTTTTCTCCCAGTTCAGTGGCAAACAGTAGAGACGACGACTTCAAATGTAATAGCGGCGATGCTTACAGCATCGAATAATGGTTGAGCAGGTATTTGGTTCATTGCCGAACTTGTGAATCATCTGTATGCTTCCATACACACGCATCTCTATTGTTAATCAGTGGTAATACTATCTGCTGAAGCTTTCCCAGGAGCCAGGTACTTGTAAATGTCCTTCACTGCATCTTTCTTCCTGCTGGTAAGACTGGCTGGGCCCTGCGGTCCAGGATCATCAAGAAGAGAAACCTTCCTCCATTCTGTCTCATGACAGACTTCCAACATGGTGCCTGACTCAAACTCTTCAGTCTGAGTGAGTAAAGCCATCATGGCATTGGCTACAGCATCAGGCGGCAGGAGATAATCTCGCTCCATGTCAAGGAACTTGGCTGCCTCGGGTTTCTCTGAGAATAGTGGTGTGGACACGGTTCTTCACAAGCACATATTAGCTGATGCAGGATATGATGGGAACGAGGGTGTCTCACCCTGGCGCAACTCCCAAGACCCGAATGCCCGAGGTTTGGGCGAGAGGTGCCATTCCCCGGACAAAACTGCTCAGCGCATGCTTTGAAGCAGTGTATAGCGGAGTGATGATGCTTGATCTCTGCGCAGCAATGCTCGATAAATGGATGATGGTTCCAGGAAGACCAGCTTCGACAAGCTTCCGCACAGCAATGCGTGTAGTCTTAATAGGGTGCACGAGGTTAATGTCGAGAACCTTGTACCTCGAGTCGCTGTCTCGGTCCTCCCAGAAAGAATTGCTTGATGGTTCGTAGACGCCAGCTCCAGGGACCACGACGGTTGGTATGCCTTTGAAGAGTGTCATGCAGTGGTCAAACGCTGCCTCGAGCTGGGCCCAGTCTGTAACGTCGAGTTTGAAAAACTTGACCCTGTCTGCATCTTTTGGCTGCAGTGAATCAATCCATGTCGAGGCGGTGGGATGAAGAGCAAGGTCTGCGATTAGAACATGGTAACCGGTCTCGTGGATCTTCTTGACAAAGGCTAGCGAGATGCCTGACCCGCCACCAGTGACAAGGGCGATCTGGCGTGTGGTGATGTCGGTCATGGCTTTGTGGTAGGGATTCCTCGTGCCAAACATCGAGCCGTCTGGAACACAACCTTTTGGACTAATTGATATACCTAGAGTATTTTGACTGGTTACGAACCGCGACACAAGACTAGGACGACTCTCGGCTTCTTGGGCACGGCTTCTCGACATTCGGGGAATGGTCTTATTAGTGGCGGAGCTACATCACCGCAAACGTCTAGCTCAAAGTCTAAACCCGGGGTACTAGATCTCTCTAGTCTAGACGCGGGGAACGCGGGGTCTTCAGGTCGTACCCATGTGAACTGCCAGAGCCAAGTCGGGGCATCATTATTAAGAAGCCGCCTTCGCAACAAGTCCGCCTCCTCCCCTGTCTTCACTCTCCACCATGCCCGTCCGTACTGCCATTGCATGTCGCCGATGCCATTCCCGCAAAATCAAGTGTTTAGCACCAAACGGTGTCCCTTGCCTCAACTGCGATTCTGCAGGGGCAGATTGCCAGCTCATTGATTCGAGAAGGGGCAAGTACCCGCGTCACAGACGGCTCAGGACAGCCAAGTCCTTACCCGTGAATAAGGCCACGGAAGCAAATGAAACTTTGCAGTCTTCGTCAAGTTCCTCAAACCCACCACCGATATCTCTATCGCCGCGGCATGTAGTCCATCTCCCTGCACTGGCGTCACCATCGACCTCCCATCGTGGCGCAGAGTTCGACGCCACTGACGCCCACGAGACTCTTGTGGCTGCCGACTCGGGGGATGGTAACACCAACGCCGCCAACATCAACAGCACTGCCACGACGCATGACACGCCTGAATCACCTGGTTTCCTCTATGCTCGCATCGCCGAGAACAGTGCAAATAACAACTCTACATCAACCATCACCGACACCAATAGGACTGCCTTTCTCGGCGAAGCCTTTAGCCTCAGCTATGTCGTTCACAATGTCATCGGGCCTTTATTTTCCAGCTCATCAACTCATCCCCACAGACTGCACTTCCCCTTGACTTGCCACGGCGACGGTGGCTCCGATCCACGCTCCCGAGTAGATATCGTGACATGTCAGATCAGCCATCTGAGGTCTCAACGTCTCCTATACTTCCCATGTCGCGAAACACTCCACCTTCTCCTCGACTGCTACTTTGAGGCCTTCCACCCAGCCTTTCCGATACTTGACGAGTCCTCGTTTCGCAGAGCTACCGACGCAGGCGAGACTTCTCTCATAGTTCTCAGCGCACTGCTCATGGTCGCCGTGAGTATCTGCACCACAGATGTCCTCCAACAGAATGGGTCAGTCAGCCGGTACGGTGCGCGGAGTATCTACTATCATCAAGCAAAGGCTCTATACGATGCAGATCAGGAGCCCAGCAAAGTTGACATCATTTTGGGCACCTTTTTGATGAGCTTTTGGTGGGGAGGCCCCAATGATCCCAAGGACTCGTGGCATTGGCTGGGAATAACATCAAATCTTGCAACGAGTCTTGGCATGCATCGATCGTAAGTTTTATTTTGTTCTAGCTGTCTCTATGACAAACTAACCGTCCTGTCTTCTCCCTAATAGGACTCGAAACTCGTCCGTGGACTCTAAAACGGCGGCAAGGTGGAAGAGAATCTGGTGGTCTATCTATGTATGCGCCAAGTTCTTTCGTCACGATTGACTGTTGCTGACTGAACTTGATCCAGATCCGGGAAAACCTTGTTAGTGGCTCAATTGGAAAGCCTCGTCACATATCCGATTCAGACTGGGATGTTGAGGCGCCAACAGAAGAGGATCTTGAGAGCGTGGTTAGCTCCGAGAGGCCTGAACGCACCGCCTATTTCATATATATGGCCCATTTATCCAAGATATGTACGTAGCTATACGAAGAGTAATCCTTTCCTAGGCCACCCAGCTGACTAGCCTCGTATTGCCCCAGTCGGTGGTATTCTGTCCTCCAGATATGCAGCCTCCAAACCTGTAGATTCGAGCAAAGAATCTGAAGAATTGGAACATGACCTTCAACGGTTTCGTTCTGAGCTCCCAGAAACAATGGTGTACAAGGGCCTTGGTCCAGATCAACAAGGCCTCTGGGCCGCTATGCTTGCAATGGCAACGTGGTGGGTACCACTGTGTTCAAGACTTTGCCCCAGCCCTCGCACTAACTCCGTCCATCAGCTATGCTACCATACTTCTTTGTCGTCCGCATAATGAGGATCAGACCGGCGAGAACTGCCGATGGGGAAACCGTCGGAAAGCTTTTGATGCAGCGAATGAGATCACTCGTATAACAGAAGATATTTTAGCAGACTCAGCCGGGAGGCTATGCCAAATACACACGTGAGTAGTAACTGGATGGACATCAATCCACCGTGGTTCTAGACTGACAATCATCACCCTTTGCAGAATACCAGCCCTTTTTAACGCTCTAGCCATGCATCTCCTCTCACTCTGCGAATCAAGAGAGTTGGAGAACTTCCAAGTCCGAAAGGGTCTAGCCGAAGCCCGCTCAGACATTTGCATGCTTGGCCTTGAGGTCCTACAGGAATCTTGGCCAGTTGGAAGGTGGGTGTACCGTCTTTTTGCCATGATCAGAAATCGAATGCGGGAGTATGCACAACCCGAACCCTCAGGGATGGTGAATCACCCAGCACCATCTCATCCATCTGCTCAACAAGAGGCAGATCGGGAAGTAGAAGACAGTCGAGATGACATTCAGGAGGATACTCAAGGATGGCAAAGCCATGACAGTGCCGAGCAGGACGTGGTCGCCGCTTGGTTACCTACACCACTGTACTCGGCTGAGACCTTTTCGCCGCATCAATTTCTGGATCTGACAGCCCAAAGCCTCTTACTTGAGGATTATATTCCTGATATATTTACTTTCAACTAAAAACAATTAAATTACCTGTCGTACATTGAATAAACGTTTAAAACCCCACTATCAGCCGAAAAACTAGACTAAATCCTTCCGCGATCAAGAAACTTTCTTGGGATAGGCACGTGCTTTGCTCTTAGATACTCAGCCACATTCTTTCCCAGCACATCATAAGTCGAGCTTGCCGCCACTCCTCGGTCCAGATGATCTTTGAGCAGAAAGTGAACAGCTACAGAACGGACTTGTTAGTGGTCCCTACCGGTGAGGGGCGAGCTTGAAGGTCAACTTACCTTGGATATTTGGCAGCTCGAATCGTTCGACACGTCCTCCATTATAATCATTCTGTAGAATATCTATGATTCGGTCTACGGTGAGCAAGGACCTCAGCCAGGCATACTCATCCTCGTGGCGGACAAAGAAGCCGATATTACAATCTGAACCTTTGTCACCCGACCGGGCGTGCACGATGTAGCCTAGCGGTGCCATGATGCTCGGCCCAAAGGAGAGCAGCGGTTGTGGCTCAGTCACAGGTTGCACCTCCTGCTGATGCACATAAGGAACTGTATCAATTGGTGGCTCAATGTCGACCACGCGCTCACGCCAAGGAAGATGAGCTCTATGCCTGATAAGGGCTTGTGGCATTATAGTGACAAAGTACTCATTGTAAGGCTTCGGAAATGCCTGGCGGTCGTCGACGGCAAAGGTGGCTCCGGGGTACGTTGACATGACGATGTTCCAGCACTTGTTGCGGAAGTTGTGCGGCGACAGAGCATCAGCGTCAAGCGCTTGGGCAAAGACCCTCACATCAACAGTCGCGGCGTCTTGGGATGCTGGGTTGGACTGGCAGCTCCCGCTGACTGTAAAAGCAAGCTTGGTCATGGACTCGACATCGAGGTAGAATCTTAGCTGTTTCTCCAACAGAGCAGCTTTTTCTTCAGCGTCGAGGCCCACTATGAAGTAGTGTACCTCCGCCTGGTAGCCTCCGGGGGCAGTCAAGCCGACCTTTGTCGTTGGCGGGGGCTTTTCGAAGCCGATGTTGTGTACAAAGACACTATCAGGACCGGCCTGCTCCATCTTGACCTGGTCCACGATGGCTACCACATCCGAGTTGTAGTATCGCTTGCCCTGCAGCTCATAGAGCAGTTGGGATCTACACGTGTTGATAGATACTTCGCCGCCCCTATCCTTCGAGTGGTGGCACTCGATGAAAAAGGTACCATCATACTGAATGCGGGCAATGGGTAGATTTAACAAGGGACTCTTGCCCTGAGGGAGCGTCTTGAAGCCGGTGTAGTTGCCGCCGGTGACGTAGTAAGAACACTCGATCAGATGACCCGCGATCAAAGCATGTGCGAGCTCCTGGTACTGCGCGCTAGACCACCCATGCCAATATGCAGCAGCTCCCATGGTTGGGGCAGCATCGGCCACGCGACCGCAGAGGACGATGTCTGCCCCATTCATGAAAGCCTGTGATATACCTCGTGAGCCTAGGTAGCACTGCGCATACACCGGGCTGTGTTCCCATTCCTGAAAAGACTGGCCCGTAGTGATGTTTCGAAGTTTCGCTCCCTCAGAAACGTACTGCTGGACCACGTCGAGAACTTCGTCTCCTTCGATCCAGGCAACTCGAAGGTCTGTTCCAGATTCCTCGACGATATTTTGTATACGTTGATATAGAAGTTCCGTGTCGCAAGCCCCGGCGTTGACAGCCATCTTGATCTTTCGCGCAGCCAAATCTGGAAGGGCACACTGGAAGGAGTCGACGAACTGCTGTTCGAAAGCAGGAGCAGCGTCGAAACTCTGGCTTCCAGCACGTTGTGCTTTGAGCATTCCGCGTGCTGCCATGTTGTACTCTGACAGCCAGTCTCCGACGATAAAGTCGACATCGGCGTTCTTTGCGAGCTCTGCCAGGTTCTCAACCATGTCTGTGATGGCCCCTGATGCTGAGGCCACACGGACAGGACGACGATTTATTTGAGACCCCATCTTCAAGGCTTATTCTGACGGCAGTTCTGTTGATACAGGCTCTATGAATGTGTTGTCGTTGTTGTTGCTACAAAGGTTAAATCTTCTGTGCCAGGAGGAGAGGTTGGCATTGCAGCAACAGCGATAGTTTTAACCAAGTCACTGCTGTTGTAGATGGATCAGAGGATATTGAGGGGCAGTATTGCCGCGGCGGACTCGGCTTCTGACTGTGAACAATGGTTCGGTCCATTTGGGTACCGTGAAGACGGCATCTTAGCCCAGTCCCCGCGGCATCACAGTGAGTTGATGATATGCCGGGTGGCCAATGGCGATCAAATCATGGTACGACTACTCTTCTGGGATCAATTAGAAGAAAGCTACTAATACTAGTAATGAACTATCTGAATTGTGGCTTGACTGAGTAATCTGGAGTTGAGTCTTGTGACAATGCCAGTTTTCCTACCCAGTCCAAGCCAAATAATTCTCGCTTCGTCGGCACCTTTGCCCCCGGACTCGTTCTAGACACTCTTTTACTGAACGGTCTTACTGCACGGTCGATCAATAGTACATTTTCATGACCTTCTATTGATTCTAGGCGTCAAATGACTATTTTAGCCAGCTACAGGATAGCGATGGCATTGGGAGGCGAGGCACATCCACTAACCACCCTCAATGGAGCGCTTGCTAAGAAGAAGGACCACCTTTTATGGGCCTTGCACTCTTCTGCCAGTGCCTCCAGATCCCAAAGCTCGCCGATCGGTGTCCCCCACTGTACAAGTAACCATTCGTGTAAGCAGCAGTCTTCTGGGTAAGGCCATGCCTCGAAGCCCATGGTATCTCCAGCCACTGCCGCAAAGTGTTTCGAGTACAACCATCTGACTGTCTCGTCATTATTTTCCAGTCCAATCATATAATGCTGCTTCTCAGTGCCTAAAGCTCGAATATCGGCCTTGGCGTTGCTTTTGGAGGAAGAAGGTATGTCAGACTTGTTGTCCAACTGAGAGGGGGCCGTGAATACATACTTGTGCCATCTCACGAAACCGCTCCTCACGATGAGGATATCGCCCTGTCTTGTCTCTGTCCCCTGGTAGGCGAGCGTAGCTTCGAGCTCCGAAACTGGGATTTTGTGACAGCTGATGGCTGACGGTGGTTCAATGCCCGGATTCTCGTGCTCCCACCAGCTCAGCTAATTTCGCTAGGTGATTAGTGAGGGTAAGCAGGTTGAACACAGATACGTACCCAGTCTACAAGGACCCCTCTACCGACGATGCCACCTCTATCACATATCTCTGGTGTTGAGATAAGGTAAGTAGTGATCAAGGAGACTAGTCTTGGGCAAGCGGCACGTACTGTGAATGCCAAGATCATTTGAGGACTTGAGCTGATCATGTGTCCAGCCATTGTAGTAGACTGCTGTCTTCTGGCTCCCAAACTGTCGAGTTAAGCAACTTGTTAGCTTTTATACAAATGGCGCCTACACTCGTGAAACCGGTTGGAGCTTACATGCTTCAAACTGTCCCACTGAGAGCTTGTCTGCGTGTTGAAGGATATAACATCGTCAAAGGCGACAAAACCTTCCTCTGCAAGGTCCTTGACGGTATGTTGTAGGGGGATCCGTCCGAAGCCCGGAAACTGGATGTTGTGTAGGGGCCAGTCGAGCTGCACGTGCGTCCCGGTTTGGATCTCGTCTTTCGCCTTCTGTACAACTTCCTTGGTGAGGAGTCTCAGGGCTGTAGATGAATTGTCAGTTTCGCTTTAGCCATTCTTTTCCTCTTCCAGTAGCAGCTATCTTTGTGTTGTGACTAAACAGCGCAGGATATCTTGATCCTGAACTTGCTTTCTGCTCTACTTACTTCCCAGTTGGTCTTTCTGACCATCAACGTCGAAAAAGCCCCAGAGACATCCTTTTGGCTGATCTTTTACCACTGGAAGGTCGTCAAACTCGGGAAAAGAGAAGTTGCTCATGATTGTGCAAGTAATGTGGGCTGCCACACACATCGACCACAAATTTCGCAGGTCTATCGGCCAGTCGCCAAAAACGAGAAATGTTATGACATCCTCCACTATTTGACAGAAGGTTTTCCCTGGGAGACGTAAATGTGGCTGAACTAAACCGCACTAACACTGGGCCTAAAAAGCCGAGACGCCGCCTCACTCACTAAACTATCCTATTTTGGTACCGTGTTTGAGAGGCGGCTTCTTGAGATGCCGAAGAGGCCGTTGGTTTGGTTCCCTCTGATTTTGCATCTGCATCCTCCTCTATGGACGACCCCTTGCCCAAGTTGCCCTAAGGTCATGTTGAGATATCCCTGGATCACTTCCCCACGATCTGTTACCCCAGACGCGGAGAGACCCGCATCCCCAGATCTTCTGCATATATAGATGCAGTCGCTTTTCCCCAGAAAGCGATCTTCCGGCGAAGCAGCATCTCAACATAACAACCCTGACTCCAAGACAAGAACAAACAAGCAAACGTCGTCAGGGGTAGCAGAGACGAAATGGCTGCAACCATGAACAACAAGTCGATTCCAGCGACGAAATACAATTTCGCACTTGTATTCTTCGTGGCTCTTGGCTCTTTCACCTATGGCTTCAACGCCTCCATCATGGGCACTGTCTTCGGCCTTGCCCCTTTCTTCTCCTACTTCGGTCTCAACCTCACCGGCCCCGGTGCAGACTATGCCAACTCAATGATCGGCGGTACTAAAGACCCAAAGAAGACCTCAAGACATTTGCTAACAAGAGTTAATTCCAGCTACGAATGGCCTTTTCTCGGCTGGAGGTATCATCGGCTGCCTCCTTATGACGAAACTCGCCGACAGATTTGGACGAAAGAGGACTATCCAGGGGATCTGCGCTGTTTGTGTTGTTTCGGTCATATTCCAGGCTGCTGCTGTACATATTGCTATGTTGCTTGTGGGCAGGTTCCTCAATGGTCTTGGGTAGGTTCAGAGCGTCACTACGCTATTCACGTATACAGCCCAGAGCTTACGTTAATCAATTTTATAGGTCCGGCATGATGAATGTGATCATCCCTCTGTATCAGTCAGAAGTTGCTCCGCCACACATCCGTGGCCGCATGGTCGGAGCTCATGGTTTCTGTCTCGTTCTCGGCTATGTCGGTTCATTCTACGTCCCCAGCCTCTGATCCGTTTATCATGACTAATGCCATCTTCCATTTACAGAACTTTGCCGCCTGGACCGGACTCGGGTGCTACTTCGCGACCAATCCTCAATTGCAGTGGCGGCTCTGTCTTGCTCTTCCTGGTCAGTAACGAAAAGCCTTTGCATTGCGACTATCACATCACTGACGCCATGGCCCATTCATAGCTGTTGCTCCCGGTATCCTTGGCCTTGGATCATCGTTCATTCCAGAATCTCCCAGATGGCTCGTAACGCAAGACCGTGGGACCGAGGCCCTCGATATCCTCACCAAGCTTCATCATCAGCCAGGCGACTCGAACAATGAAGCGGCCCAGTCTGAGTGCCACGCTATTAAAACCCAGTTGATGTCTGAGTCAAGTGAGCCCAAGTCGTTTTTCGGCATCATGAAAAAGCCCTCCTATCGCAAGCGACTCCTCATTGGCATATTTGTGCAGTAAGTAAACTGCAAGCACCATGAGCCACAGCATGCCTCGAACGTGAGCTGATTCCATCTCTAGGTGCATTGCCCAATCTACTGGAGTTCTTGTAATCAACAACTACCAGGTACTTCTGTACAACGGCCTCGGTCTAACGGGTTACCTCCCACTTCTCCTCTACGGAGTGTATACAGCTTGGGCGGCTTTGCTCAACTGGGTAGGCGCTATGTTTGTTGATAAGTTTGGTAGAATTCTTATGCTTACTGTTGGACTTGTACGTGATACATCCTGATCCTCCTATTTGGCTTGGACATACTGATCATGCGCAGGTTGGATGTGCACTAATGGTAGCTGGCGAGGCAGCCATCGTCGCTGTTGCAGCCGAGAACAAGAACAACCACGCCATCAACGCAGCCGGTGTATTCTTCCTGTTCGTCTTTGTTACTTTCTATGCCACATGCATCGATGCCATCAGCTACATATACTGCACCGAGATCTTTCCCACTTCCATCCGAGCCAAGGGCGTGAGCTACTCCGTCATTGGCCTGTTCATCATGACTCTGAGTAAGTGAAACTTGTTTTAGATATTGATTAGCTGACTGACATATGCTGCTAGTATATACGCAGCCTGCACCTATCGCCTTCGCTCAGGTCGGGTGGAAGTACTATCTTGTGTTTGTCATTGTGCCCCTTCTTGGTGCCCCTGTTGTTTATTTTATGTTTCCTGAGACTAAAGGTCTTTCATTGGAGGAGATTGGAACTCTCTTTGATGACGGGAATGAGGCTTCAACTGTTGAGGTTCGAGAGGATGTTGCCGAGAAGCTCGATTGCTTTTGAGCTGCGGGAATATGCGAACTCAGTTAATGTCTGTTTATGGATCGTTTTAATTAAAGAACAGCATCAGCCGTCTCGTAGCTAATACTTCAGCATGCAGTTCCCTCTAAAGCCTTCTATTCTCTTTTGCCTATTGCCACTTTCATGTTCCACTGTGCCATGTTATAAAATACTCCATTAAGCCACGTCTTCATACACTGAATTCACTGTCCTTGTCGGTTGTTTTAAACTCTTAGAGTATCCAACGCTACATAACGTCCCCTAAACCTACACCAGAACTCAAATGCCTGTGCGTTGAAACAAGCATAAAATTAAGCTCAACACAACGGTCAATGCTCGCAAAAACTATACTGGATACCAGACCAGCTTTGCTCCGCGTCACGCTGATAACTAGTCCTCTCATCCATGAGCTTCAATCGATGCTCCTTCGCCTCCTCCAACGTCATCGGCATCGTCGACTCATCAGCCTCAGTTTGAACCATGTGTACCAGCTCCTCCGGAAGGGGATTACCACTCTCGGCCGCAGCTTTCAGAGCAGGGTACTCTCGTTCTCCCCCAGACACCAACTTCGCAACTGCGTTGGGAATGTTCTTCGCACTCTCCTCATTCAAGCCCCTGAATGCACTCTCCATCCACCAACTCTTCTGCTGAGGCGGCACGTTTCCCGTGCTGATAATCCTCGTTCTCGGATCAACAAGCCAAAGCGCTATGAACCGTCGATGCCCTGGTTTGCTCTTATCATCCAACTCCACAGGCGAAACTCTATGGTGGAAAACATTCGGGAATGCCAGCAATCTACCCTGCTTCGTCTCAATCTTCCCATAACGCTGAAGACAATCACCACCTCTTAGATTGGTGCCGTAAACTTGCTCCATCCAACCAAAAGCATCCTGGCCGATATTCCAGTCCTCTTGGTAATAGTCAGTCTGCATACGGAATTGCAGATAACTGGGCTTTATGTTCTCTGAGTCAAGGTAGTAAAGGGCTGTGCCGACAATGTGCTCGTTCATTTGGCCTTCTACGTGCCACCCTCCGGCGGGAAATGTCGGTTTGTCAGGTGTGAGTTCGATGGAAGCCATTTTGACGATGACTTGGAGGTCCTTGAATCGTTCGCGTAGTGACATTCCTGGCTTGACACCATAGTCCCATGCTTTGAACTCGGGGGCCTCGGGTTGAACGGGCTCTCTGATCTCTTCCCAAGCATTCTTCTTGCGGGTATCATAAAGGAGATCGCCAACTGCATCTCTGATGACGTCTTCATACTCAACCTCCCCTGCATCATCAGGCGTCCAGTGATCGATTCGTGGAGTCCAGTTTGCCTCGTTGTCGTCACTACGAGGGTTAGTGGTCCTTCTCCAGTCTAACTCCAGTAAATGGCTGTAACTTACTCGGGATTCTCAGGGCGTGGGAAGCGAGCCTTGGTCCGTCCAGCGGAGACGATGTCCCAGTCTCTTACAAACGACACACTGTGATCCCAGGCGGGAAGAGCTCTTTCAATGAGTTTCTCAACCGTCTCATAAATATCACTATGTTTGGGATGCAGATTGTTGATGTAGCTCGTCAACTTGACGCTTCCATCATCCATGAGCTTGACATTGGACGGGAGCCACTGGTAGGCATCAGACCAAAACAGCTTATGCGAATCACTACCATTCACCGCCCAATTTATATGGTAGCGATCATCGTAGCCTGATGGGACGTCGGCCGGCTTTTTAGGTATGACTTCTCCTTTGCCGCTCCATTTATCGACCGCATCTTCGACGCCAACTACCTCATCGCGAAATACGCGAGAACGTCCATACACGAGAGGATAAAGAGAAGGGTGTACTAGGTTCTGGACCACGTCATTGGTCCGAGGATGCCAATCTGGGTTATCTTTCTGTTCATCCTTGAGCTTTGCAAAAGCGTTCCGGAGACGTTCATGGAGGGCATCGTCGATGAAGGTATCTGACTTGATGACCGTTGCATTCGCATCCAAAGCTGGTATGAGACCAGTCTTTTCAAAGAACTTGGCCTTGACACGAAGCTCTTCTATACACTAAAATCATAAGCGTGGAACGGAAGACACAATTGAGCGTTCTCACATATTCGAGACAACCCCGATCTAGAATATATTTGAGTCTGTCGGGTCCATAACCAGCACCGCTTCTGAATCCGGGGTTCCTATGTTGCACAATCTCGTCGTACAAAGGATCAACCCGAAGTGCAAGGGCTTCTTGGATCCATTTCTCCGCAATGGCTTCATCAAAGACCTTTGATCTGATGAGCTTCATTCTCCATTCGATGTTTCATGCATTCATTCATACCTTTACATGCCAGTCAGGCTTGTCGGTCAATTGATTCATCACAATCATCATGGCAGCCTCGCGCACAAGCAGCATATCAGATTCAGCCCCGACGGAGTTGTAGTGAATTGCAGTTGGATAGATTTCGCCTTCATGGTGGTAGTTATGATACCGAAGGTTCATGCCGAGGCCCGGATAGCAGCCGACTGTTGGAGGGTCAGGTTTCTTGTTAGAGAACATGGCGACGTGATGGAGTTGAGATATTGGAAGTTTACGGTGTAGTTGAGTTGGGGTAGACGCGCTGTACTTATTTATACGCAATACCAGCAACCGTTTGGGGGTTGATATCCACATTCTTCCGTGAATGGATGCGTAGGAAGCTGTTTGTTTCATCTCGTCAATTCACGAAAACCAATTGCGAAATCACGTGCGAATGTGGGGGTATTTTAGGCAGGCCAGGCAGCGGTTCTAAGATATTAGAACCTCACATGCACAGCTAAGCCAGTTTGAAGGGCATAGATAAGAAGAAAAACTTTTAACAATTAACAAGGCCAGAGCGCTGGTCTCTCAACTTTTTTCGTAGACCAATGTACCTTGGTGCAAAGTGCTATATGAGGTACTACCTCCCAGGCTTAAACCCGCCAAGCTCAGTGGTTCACAAGTACCAGCACCCTTATTCTTCTTTGGTCTACTATGCTCCATTTTCGTTTTGTAGTTTCAAGTGAAAGCTTCTGATCAGGGCACCGCTCTCATCAAGCGTCATCACCTTGAGATCCGCCATGCTCTTAAGCTTGGCCGTGCATTCCTTAACCTGGGCGTCGGTCATCTTGAGACCAAGCTGGTCGATACGACTCTTGATGGCGTTCCATCCCGTGAGTCTCGACGTGAAGTGCACGTATCTTGATAGACCGAAATCCTCGGGCTTGAGGATCTCATACGTGGAGGGTCGTTGAGGATTGCCTTGGCATGGACGCCAGCCTTGTGGGTGAATGTGCAGAACCCAGCAATTAGGCTGTTAAATGGCACGTTAATCTCAACGCATTCTCCAACAAAATCTTCGATTCTCCTGAGTTCGTTTAGCTTATAGTTAGAAAGAATGTATTTTCTGGAGGTCAGCATCATTCTAGCTATCTATGATTTCATCGAGTCAGATCATATTCAAGACCGCGTGAATCAGAATACCAAAATATGTCAATATATCACTTCATGCTCAGCCACTACAGCACTATGGTTTTAAATGTTCTACCTGAATCGGTTGACCAACACATGCCTCATGTGATGTATGTAATAGATGCAGATGTAACTGAAGCTCCTCAAAGCTTGCAACAGACTCAATGGCACATCAATGGACCATCGTCATATCTTGTTGGTAGTTGAGGTGACGTAGAGTTAAGACTACCCTACAGCTGACAAAAACAGCAAAATATGTGCTAGCGCGGTGAGAATTTTAGCGAACTCCCCGTGCACGACCAGAAAAGCTTGTCCATGTGCCAATGTTGATCACGCTCGTACCAAGCAAATTGTCGCCATTCTGAGTGACTAAAAGGCTCGGCACATCCGACCACGTCGTATTATTTGAATCATGTGTCGCGTGCTCAATTACCAAGAGAAAACAACAGCTCGACTTTACGAGCTAAATCTGCCAGGTACACATTGACTTGGACTGTTTTTGTTGTTTTAGTTGTCGGTTATGTAACGAGAAATTAGTGATCGTCAGATACGACAAGGGACAAGGTGTTTCATGGCTTGTTCCAGCGGCATGACAGTGGAGTAGAGGTTGATCGTCTATCTCGTGTGCCGTGTACCGCCTCTTTCTCGGATCACGGAACACAAAGGAGGAAGCTATCGAAAGTCTATGAGATGGAGATGCTCGTATTGACGGAAATGACATTGGGGAACATGTTATGACCTCCACGGTTAGCAATGCCGAGCCGTCGACCATCGACATCGTCTGGAGGCTGGAACCTGGTGTTGACCGAAAAAGGAGAAGAGGGCCCCGCTTGTCAATGCAGCCTTTGCAGGTGAACTGCCGCCGTTGGAAAGGCTCTGATTCTTTTTTTATGACAGAAGCACGCTAGAAGGGTGCGTGCTACGGGGACCCGCTGCGAACGCTCAACTCCAACGAGTCAGCCCTGGGGGGATGGATATACGACACGACCAGTTATATTGCCAGAGCCGTAAAACGGGAGACGTCAAAGGATTCATCCACCGGTGAGCACATGATGAAACTGTAGCTTGCAGCTCGTGAAGGAGGGAGGTATGCATCGCAACGGTCGATCCCGCAGCCAGACGGGTAACGGCAATAATACATATGATGACGGATTATGAAGGGCTGAAGGATCTAGTTTATGCTTACTGTGCCAAGCATTCCAAGTTTTTAATCCTGTAATTGCAGTAGACAGGATGTAATCCAATGCAATCCATCAAAAAGACGATCCCAATCGAAGATCGAAACAGTCCGAAGAGGCGCATTGCCAAAGACATAAATCACCCCCGCTCAAAGGAACACCCAAAATCAAGGCAATGGCTGTAGACGAGTGCTGCAGAGTGGTGGCGGTGCATGCAGATTGATTACGTCGGGCGGTTTCGCGGTGTGAAATACTCTTCAGCCCAGTAACTCTAAAGGATTTGGGATTCGTGCCACGCAGTAATTACCACAAACAGGCATCTACCCCACCGCGGAAGAGCATTGTTACGGCCCCGGCGGCCCTTGACATGCACGCCATGGATGTTTGGGGGTTGTCGAGTGGCGTAGCATGGAAACACAACAATACATCAAGCCCATCAGCGGCGTCTGCATGCTGATGTAGCTCGACCAAAAGAGATGCGCCATAATTGTGTGATTTCAGCCGGTCAATTTGTTCCGCCAACTGCACAACACTGGCGGTGCACACCAAGCTTTGACGAGCAGTCCTAGGCAGTACAGTATTAGCCACGTTGCGACCCTGGGTTTCGAGGGCTTCCCTAGAAAAACCATTGGCGGGGCTGTACCCTGCTAAAACGAGCCCCTAATAATCTGGCCGCGGAGGAGCTAATGAGCTACTTTTGGAGTGCCACTGACCCCTGAACACGCGACCCCTTTCTTATTTGGCCTCGAGCTCTTTGCTCTGCATGTTTTTTCTGATGGTGTCTACCCCACATTCTCCCGCTCATTGGAAAGGAAGGTGCAAAATCGCCCAAGTCCAGACCAGCTCGTTCCATTGCGACACACGACACACCTCGGCCCTGTCAGTCATTAACTGTACGGTGCTAACGTTAGACTCTTTAGCTTCGGGGGGGAGACAGACGAGACTTCTTGGCTCTGTTTTATTTCCATCATTTTCTTCATTTTTTCCCCGATCCCTTCCCTTCCCTCCCTTCCCTTTTTCTTCTCTCCTTTCCGCCCCCATTACAAACCTCTAATCAACATCGCCGTCGTTTTCGTTGCGTGCGCGCCGCCCGCCCTCCCTCCTTTCAACAATCAGCGAAGCGGCCACTGCGTCTGAGTCTCTTCTCAACGACAGACCGCGCAAGGAGCCTAGGCAAGATGTGTTTCCTCTTCTCGGTATCCTATGTTTTCGGCGTCTTCTTCGTCTCGGTAATCGCCAGCAAACTGCTACATTTGTGGACACATTTCTTCACAGTGCCCGCCTCGGCTTTCATCCTATACCTACCGACCTTCTTCCTCTTCGACCTGTTAGCGATATGCATAGCGAGGCTGTTTTTGAGTCAGTCCAAGACACCGTGGGCTTGGATTGGGTGTCTGTTCGGTACTATAGCTACGTATGTCTTGTCATTTCTCGGCGATCGATTGCGATGGCCCCCAATTTGAGATGAACATGCAAACTGACGTTTTCGCGACTTGGCAGACTTATCTCGATCGGCGGCTCGGCGTCGCAGCTTGGTTTCTTCGTTAAGACCGGTGGAGAGCTCGATTGGCGCGATGCGACGGCTTACGCTACAAGCAAGGAGGGTCTCAAGGTGCTTTTCAGCGGCAGCGAGGCCGTGATAGCATGCGGAATTGGTCTGCTCATTATCGCCATTCCCATCCATGGATTCTTCTACCGCGCCTTTGGTGCCTTCGTTGGCGCAATTGGCGACAACATCCTCTCAGGTTCGTGTCTGCGATGTCGGCTTTCCTGGTCCGCCCGCTAACTTTCTGCTTCACCCGCTAGTCTATTCCTACTTCCGAAGCTTTCGCGTGCGAATCCCTGGTATCCAGCGCGGTAGATATTCAGCTCTCAAGAATGCCGATACCGATCTCGAATCGACCGATACATACTCGATGGATGAGGATCTCCGATCCAGCGCCGAAAACCCTCCGCGTGCGGGCGGAGAGAAGCTTGCCACTGTTCGAGGCAAGATTGCTCGATTCTTTGCGCGAATCCCATTCTTCTCGTGGCTGTGGAAAATTGCTCTCGCTCTTTTCCTTATGCTCACGCTGATTTTCCGACCTGCCAAGCCCTACGATTTGTTGTCAATCACGCTCCCTGTTTCGATGCTCGATGTTTTCGCTCCTGAGCCCGATTTCTGTCAAGCGCAGCGAAGCTTGATTCAGAACGCTTTCCCGTTCCCCGACTTGATCAACAATTCGACATGGAAACAACCTGAGGGCGATTACTTCAGAGGCTGGGCGCCTTTGGTCAACAAGGATATGAGCCCTCTTGGTGAGGCGTACCGAAATCACTCCGTCGATTGGTTGCCCGAGAAGGGAGACCTGCCCCGTGGCTTTTTTCGATTCGACCCCAAGCGCTTCAAGAACGGTTACCACGGTTCACTTAGCAAGGGCAGCACTATCATTTCCGAGCACAAGTGTCCCCAGGTCTCGCTACAAGAGAAGGATCCCTACTACAACCCCGTCCAGGACCCTTTGAAGATTACCAACCTCGATACCGATATTCTGCCTACACTGAAGGAAGCGCTTGGCAATGGCGACGTCAAGATTAAGCATGTTGTGTTTATTCTCATGGAGAGTCTGCGTGCAGACTTCTGGCCTCTGCAGCAAGGCTCCCATACTCACAGCCTGATCATGGATCTCAACAATAGCGATAAGGAGAAGGAAGCGGCCAACGAGCGATTGTCCTGGATGATGCCTCACATTGAGAAGATCACTGGCCTGAAGCAAGGATTCACCGACAAGAACGGCAAGCCGTACGCGACGCCCAACTACACATGGCACGATCAAGCGGAGGAGGGTTTCGGTGGCATCAATGTCGCGACCGCCTACACCGCCGCCACAATGTCAACCAAGAGCTACTGCGCCAATCACTGCGGAGCCTACCCAATGCCTGTCGAGAAATTCGCCGAAGCCGACACCGACAGCTACCAGCCTTGTCTTCCTCAGATTCTCAGCATGCTCAACAAGGTCAAGACCAACACATCCTCTGACGATGCCGATTTCCGTGATTTGCAGTGGAAGACTGCTCTCTTCGAGGCCGAGATTGAGGAGTACGATCGTCAAGAGAAGTTCGACGCCAAGCTTGGCTTCGAACACATCATCACCAAGAAGCAGCTCGAGAATCACTGGCGCTTCAACGAGTCGGACGTCTTGGGCAAGAAGATCAACTACTTCGCCTACCCCGAGCCCATCCTCATGCCTCATCTCCAAGACTTCATCACCAACACGACCGCCAACAACCAGCGTATGTGGTTGACTCACTTCACCAGCACTACTCACCACGCTTGGGGTCTTCCCGAGGGCACTCCTTACTACGATTACGTTTCTCACACCGGTATGAACAAGGTGCACGACAACTTCAACAGGTACTTGAACACCCTTCGCTGGCACGATGGTTGGATGGCCAGCTTGATGAACCTCCTCGACGACCAAGGCATCGCCAACGAGACCCTCGTCGTCTTCGCCGGTGATCACGGCCACTCTTTCAAGGACGACGGCGCTGGCAAGGAGGGCACATACGAGAACCAGTTCATCTCCAACTACCGAGTCGGCCTGACCTTCCGACACCCCCACCTCCCCCGGGTCCAATACGACGCCAACACCACCACCATCTCTATCCTCCCGACCATCCTCGACCTCCTCATCAACAGCGGTTCCCTCAACGAGAAGGACACCCACATCGCCTCCGATCTCGTCCAAGACTATGAAGGTCAATCCCTCATCCGACCCTACAAGAAGACCGACGGTGACCGACGAGCCTGGACTTTCTCCGTCGTCAACTCGGGCGCTGGCATGCTCGGCGTCACCTCCGCCGACGTCCCCTGGCGTCTGGTCATCCCCCTCAACAAGGTCATCGAATACCGAGTCACCGACGCCGTCAACGATCCCATGGAGCTTAAACCCGTAGCTGCGTGGTCACCCGAAGAGCTCGAAACAGAAGTCCGTTCTGCCTTTGGCGACGAAGCCGCGCAGTGGGCCAATGAAGCTATACCCATAGCCCAATGGTGGGCCCTGGAGCGTCAACGTCTCTGGCGCTACCACTCTCTGTCCGCATAGACATGTCATTTTTTATATCTGCATCAAACCGGCGTTTTTGGGAAACAAACCTTTGCTTAAACTGTGTGTATCTTCAACACACATTGCATCATCAAGCATCACGACAGAACAAACCCCCGGTTTCTTCATCCCCGGATGATGAAGACGTGGGTCTCACTCTCGAATCTTGGAACAGCGACAATAATAATCTCTTTTTCTTTTTTCGATACACTTTTCTCTTTGTAAAAAGGGCGACGATACGATGCGTGATAGAAAGGGAAACGGGCCGGATAAAACATCCATGTCATCATTTTTCTTTTATCGTTTTTCTGGCTTGAATAACCAGGCTTGAACTTTATCTACTCGGAGTTTTCGGCGGAAGGGGAATGGGGACTGTGTTCACGGTCGCTATGGCATGGTTCTTTCTGGGGTATTGCTTCTTGGATCATTTGTGTATAGCGTCTAGAGGTTTCTTTTTGAACAAATGCCTACTTGACTACCTTTGACTTTCACGTTGGTGATGTTGTGCTTTGGTGGTGATGGTCGCGTGATGTTCAAGAGGTAAAGTCTACTGAGTACAGGCCCGTATTTTCGCAAGTTACTCTTTACTGGGGTAGGGATGTGACAGGCACTCCATGTAACACTGAAACCAGTCGGTGAGGCGGTCTGAAGGATTGATGTTTCGTCGCACTACGCGTTGTAGATTCTTTGTAGTCCAATTTTGTGATACGGATTATTGACACCTTGGGGCTTGAGCGGGTTTCACTAGGAGCACGGGCTGAGACTGCATTGACCACTTGAGGCTGACAATGTTGTAGCAGATTGCTGACAGGAAGGGCTTGGCGTTAGATCTTTGGACTGAGGCTTGATTGGTTGTGTTATGATGGTGATATCAGATAAGGTTGTGAGATTAGCTTGGTTGCACGCTAAGTCATGGTGTTGACGAACAAGGGTTAAAACTACATTCAATGTCTAAGGTTTGGAATAATATTTGTAGCCACTTGTTCAACCAGTATCTAAATCTAATTCGCTAAAAGTTCCTCTCTGTGCTTATCAACCCATGCCTTGAATGTAGTAGGCTGTCTGCCCGTGTACTTTCTGTAATTCATCGACGCCTCTCTACACGTCTCCGGCTCATACAAACTCGCTGGATCACGCCCAAGATTTGCTAACCTCTCAACAGCAGACTTTATCATCGGCTCTGGAAATCCTCTCGATCTGAGTTTCTCTCTGTGTTCATCACTATTGATCTCTTTGATGCTGATATCCATCCCCAGACCTTCGCTTACAACTTTCCATGCTGCACGCTGGGAGAGCAACTCTGGTCCGCATTGTGATATGACTAACTCCCTAGACGGAGGAGTTGCTGCGACTCGTGCACCTGCGAGAGCGCCGACGTCTTCGGGGGCGAGATAATCGAACGGTGCGTCGGGATGAGCCAACTCGAGCTGTCCTGACTTGACCTCTTCCCAATCTTCCAGCATCTGGATATTGCTTGAGAAATACGCAGGGCGGATGACAGTATAAGCAATGCCACTTTCAGCCAGTGCAAGTTCAGCCTTGCCATGAACAACAGCTAGGATCTCATCTGCTTCAGAAGATGGTTTGGCACCTCCATTCTCCGTAACACAAAACGAAGAAAGCAGGACAACATGCGTGATACCAGCCCTCTTCATAGCATTGTATGTTTCTAAGAGACCGTCTGCTGCTTCGAAGAGTATGTATGAAAATGCTACAGTTGCTCCTGATTCAGATACGGCGCGCTCGACGGACTTGGGGTCTGAGAGATCGGCTTGGACGCGAGTGAAGCCAAGTTTCTTCTCAAGTTCTGGTGTGAAGCCTGGGATGGGCTTTTTGGTATTGCGCATGGCGAGTGTGACTTGTGCACCCCTGGATTGGGCTTCTAGGGCTGCAGCACGACCGACTGCGCCTGTTGCGCCGAAGATGATGGCTTTGACTGAAGACATGATGATATATATCTGGTTGTTCGAATATCTGAAATAAGTTGGAAATGTGAGGACATAACATAGATGTAACTTAGCTTATTATATACTCAAATCTCTCTCCTTTTGACTTTACCGTCTCTCGGAATCGGCCTTTTCATTATAAATATCGGTATTCTACATTGTCCGATATCGAGGTTAGTCGATGCGTCGGGATTTGCCAGAGCGTACAAGTCGCCACAGACGTCACCCAATCGACGATTCAAGATATATTCTTTGGGATTGCAGCGAGACATCGGACAACGAAAACTGTCCGAGTGGATGCGTTGTTTGCTTGGCTTTTGTGGAGTCATCTACGTAATAGACTTGAGATTTCGCCTCATCTAACTTTGATAGAGGGGACTGTCGTGAAGTGGCGTGAGAGACCAATTCAAGGATATTTAGTAATGTATAAAAGAGAGTTTTGGATGAGTTTGCTCTTGAGATTAGGGTTTGTCATTGGCAGAAAGTGAGTTACAAGGACAAGGCCGCGTTGCTGTCCTTTCAGTCAATGCACGAATATTCGAGTGACATCCTACGGTAGTTTGAAAATATATGCTTATAGTATGTGAACTTATTTACTTTATTTCAAGGTTGTCGGTTCTCTCTGGATCTTCAGTGAAGAAACGAGGTTGAGCGCAACTCTCATCGAGAATCTTTTACTATGCGCGATTGCACCATGAGGGTATCGTGGCAATCAATGTCGGGTGCAAACACTATCTTGACCAGATGTGGATAGATCAACAAATTCACAGGTCAATGATACTGGATTCTCAGCCATGTTCCATCTCCATGCGAGATAAGATAACAGTGCATTTGCTCCTTGAAACATGATCCAACAGAAGCAAAGTAAGCGTTGAGGCTGCGTCACAAGAGCCTTGGCAAATGCTTATTTCCAGCGGCTCAACCACTATCAGTTTATCTCCGCCGACTGTTGATCTTCAGTGTCCTCAAGATCAGCATTATCCTCCTGCTACAACTCACGCTTCACCTTGATACAGACAAAGCGTCAGGCCCCCTCGGTTTTAAACAGATTTTAATTACGATTTACCTCGTCAATGCTCAACCTTAGCTTCCCTGGACCCTCCATGCGGGGCGCCGTCATCTCCCGCGAGAGTTTGACCAGGGGGCGTTTTCTCCCCCCCCCCTTCGAGGCTAGAAGCTCGATAGAACGATCTCTAAAGTAAAAAGCAAGATATTCTGCAAAAGTCACAGGCTAAAAGAGTAGACGAATGGCATAAATGGCGCAGAGGCGGTGCTCATGACCTGCACTGTAATGCAATGCAGACAGATCAATCAATCTTGCTCGTGACGCTAAAAAATCGCTCGCTACCCTTATCCTTATCCACTGGGGGTCCCCCGTCCCCAATGTTATCAATTAAAAACAAGGGAGGAGGAATTTTGGGATTATCGTCGCAAGTACCCAGCCTAAGAAATAAGGGGTAAATTGACAACAGTGCTTATTAGCGGCGTCTTTAGCGATCAAATTATCGCGAGGCCTCCTTTTAAATTATGAGACCCCCCTTTCTTCACCAAATTCTTGATTCCATCTCTCTTTTCTACACAGAACTCACCCTTTTTCACCCTCAATGAGTCCCTCCCTCGCTACGGAGACCACCAGATACAATGACTGCTCACCGTCAAGTGCGAGCGAAGATGAAGATGACGCGCCTGACCCGCTGAATCACCATGGCATCGATTTCAGTATACGAGGTGCGCGCATAGCCCCCTTTTTTAAACGAGATGTCGGAAATGACGGGAGAACTGATTGTGAGAAAAAGATACCATGAAGCGAGCGCTTCGTGCATCATCGCGTTTAGGAGATGGCGTTCGATACCAACAGCTTGGAATTTCGAATTCAAATGATTTGGAGACGCAGTCACCGCCTCTTGACCGTACGCAGTTCGACTTTAGCAGCCACCATGAGGGAGTCTCATTTTTCGGCCAGATCCGATCAACTGTCGTTGCATCGCGACTGAATTGGCTGCTTGTTTTTGTACCGATTGGATTGGCGGCGCATTCGTTCCAGATTAATCCTCTCGCGATTTTCATGACGAATGCGATTGCTATCGTGCCGCTGTCTGTTATGCTGACAGAGGCGACGGAGCGTATTGCTGCCGATGCGGGAGATACCATCGGTGCGCTGTTGAACATTACGCTTGGAAATCTTGTTGAATTGATTATCTTGTGAGTTTTGCTGTGAGACTTTGAGAGAGATTTAGCTAATGCGATGCAGGGTGTGAGTTGAGATGAGATTGAGTTTTAGTGAGGCTGAGAACTGACTTTGATAGCGTTGCACTGGTGAATAATCACATTCGCATCGTTCAAGCTTCGATTTTAGGTAGTGTTCTCGTAAACCTTCTTCTTATCTTGGGCTCTGCGCTCTTTGCCAGCAGCATGTCCAACATCGACCCTCACAGCAGCATGGAAGAGTCAGAGCTCCTGGCCGCTCTCCTCTTCGTCTCAGTCTTTGTCATTCTCATTCCCGTAAGTTCACTCATCCTTTCACTCATACAAACAACTGACTTGAGCAGACTGCATTCGACTACACTTTCCACATGAAAGGAAAGAAAAGTGAAGCCGCATTGAGTATGAGCCGCGCTTCATCGCTAGTAGTCCTCGTCATCTACATCGTGTATTTCGCGTATGAGATGAGACCCAAGCATGTCGAAGCACCAGCAATTCCATTACAGCCACTACACACAGAGCATCACCAACACCGACGAAATCAAGGCTCAACATCTCATAGTGCGAGGCTTATTCGGTTTGCCGACCAGGAAGTTCCGACTCGTGCGAGGAGCACGACGCTTGATACGATGAGCGTGGCTGAAGCTGAGGAGGAGCGCGGGAAGAGAGAAACAACTCGTGCTAATTTGTCGCATCGATCGAGAGGGAATTCTCGATCCCACTCGCGTTCTGGCTCGAGGACTGAATTTCATGGGTCGGAGATGCGGGATCTTTCGGTTGGGAGTGCCCAGTCGAGAACGACTATTATGGAACGACCGGAAGTACCGGGTCACCCATCGCACCCTTCCAGCACGAGCGGCACTGTAGCTGCTGTTACAGTGCTGTTTGTTTCATCGGCGCTCATGTCGATGAATGCCGAGTTTCTCGTCAAGACGATTGACGATGTCACTCATGAAGGCGGGCTATCAGAAGCTCTGATCGGCCTGATCATTCTGCCCGTGGTCGGAAACATCGCGGAGTACGTGACTGTCGTTACAGTCGCGATGAGAAACAAGCTTGAGCTTGCTATTTCTGTTGCTGTCGGATCAGCGATTCAAATCGCTCTTTGCGTGGCGCCGTTGACGGTCCTGATAGCCTGGATGCTTGGTCGGGATCTTGAGATGGCGTTCAACGTCTTTGAAACCACGACATTAGTTGGATCAGGTTTATTGATCAACCTACTGATTCTGAGTCGTGCGGGCACTGCCATCAGAGCTATTGGCCTGAAAGGCGCTCTGATGTTTGCCTGCTATGTCATTATTGCGTAAGTTGCATTTGGCCCTTGGGAATGAACCTACTAACACATTGTAGCCTTGGTGCGTACTATGAGCCGCACGGCAAGACAAAATGAAGTGAATGGGGAGAAATCAAAATATGATTATGATAATATCAAGACTTAAATTCATCAGAATATAATTTCCCTTCAATCTTTAATCGTATTTGCTTTAACAAATACAATGTGAGAAAAGTTCATTCTCGATTCCGCTTGCAGATTGCATATCTAGATTTTATTGCAAATCATATCGATGTTGCAAAGAGATCTTATGCCTTCGCCATACTGTCGTACTGTCGAGACCTCAGGCCTCGCCACGGAGGGCGACCTAGCTTTGTGAATATCATACCACTCAGAAATCTTGCCAGAGATTGATTCTATTTATCCTTCGAAAATTTTACGCTCCCGTCGTCGTACAGGTGAAACGAAGTCAGCACTTTGGAACCCCGGCAAACCTGCCCAGACACATGAGGCTTGGGATCTTTCCTCGAGGTATGCGGTTGACCACTGGGATGAAGGATTAGTGACTTTATAGCGTGGCACTGCTTTTTACTTCTTACCTGATAACTACTCTGGTCGCCTTCCATAGCTTGGGATTGCAAAAGAGAAAATAGCAAATTTTAGAATCATAGAAGTGTCTAGGCTTACAGCCTCGCCACATGATATCTAGAATCATGATTAGGAGAGGAGCAAAGAATCGGTTTGAAATGATAGAATGGTTACACTGATAAGCTTGCCTTTGATGTGTATTTATGCTTTGGACATGTCATTGGGACAATGGAGATATGTGTATGTTGTTCTATCACTTGCCAATAAATCATCTGGGAGAAGACAAAGAAAAGGGACCAGATCACTCAAGCCAAGCTTGCCTATCCTCCGACAGAGCGTTGGCAGTTCATCAACCAAAGGGGCCAGCATCTCTTCTTTTGTAAGAATCTCATGTCACTTCAGCCAAAGCCCTGGTGGTCTCATCCCAAGTCTTACGCAACATCTGTTGGCCACTGATCTCTCTTCATGTATTTAGGGAGGATGAGGATATGCTGACCCCTTTCATCTGTACAGTCTTGGCTGTGACTTCTGAGGCGTTAGCCAACAATGGGCTTGGTAGAAGAACAAAGTCGCCCCACTTTTGCTTATCGACGCCACTTTCGTTCAATCTCGCGCTCTCGTCATCATCAAAGACAGTGCCTCAAACATCTCGACGCATCATATGGCGCCTCCAAAGGGCAATGCAAGGCTTTGTTCAGATTAGCACCCCAATAAACGATTCGTGAGGAATGATCAGGTTCAGGCCCTTCATGGCGCTGTACCACCAACCATGGCCGCCGTGTGCCATACCTGCAGCACCCCTTGATCTTACATGTCCCATCGAGGAAGAAAAGACACCCAATTACAGCCCAGAGCGTTTCTATCCTATTCGGTTAGGGCAGCTTCTGAATGGAAGATATCAGGTGGCAACCAAGCTGGGGTACGGCGCTAATTCGACCGTCTGGCTTGCTCGAGATCTGAACCGGTAGGTTCGTTATTCAGAGTTCATAAAAACTCAAAAATACGACAAAGACTGACTCCACTAGATGGAAGTGGTCTGCAGAGAAGTACGTTGCTATCAAAGTCAAGGCGACCAAGAGCTCAAAGGCACGAGCCTCTGCAGAGAGAGAAATCGATATCCTCAAGCATATCAACCAAACAAATCCTAAGCACAATGGGTGGCACTTCATTCGAAAGCTTACCGACACTTTTAACCTCGAGAGTCCATATGGTAGTCACCCTTGTCTCGTGTTAGAGCCTCTACGTGAGCCGCTTTGGCTATATTGCTCCAGATACATCGGTGGCGTTATCCCTCCAGACATCTTGAAGATTCTGCTTCAGATGATACTTCTGGCGCTTGATTACCTTCACACCGAATGCTACGTTATCCACGCTGGTAAGTGGTTGAATAGACACTGAGGTATAGGATACTCATAAAGCTTATTGCAGATCTCAAGCCCGACAATATCATGATACGGATTGAGGACCCAAAGATGTTTGAAAAGGATGCAATCGAAGAATATAACAATCCCTTACCCGAGAAACAATTAGACGACCGCACCATTTACTTATCTCGAAACAACTTTGGACCGCTTACTCGACCAACGGGTATCATACAGCTCGTCGACTTTGACCTTGCTGTTCGCCCAACACCAGGAAAGTTGCAATATGGTGCGATTCAAGGAGAGAAATACCGAGCACCAGAAGTGATCCTCAACTCTGGGTACAGCTACTCTGCGGATATTTGGAGCCTTGGAGTGATGGTATTTATCCCTCTGTTGTCAAGCGGGAGGAACCGTGTCTGACCATGCGTTTGATAGCTTTGGGACCTGCTTGAAAAGAAAAGCCTCTTTCACCCTGTGTCTTTCGGGGACGGGACGGGATACGTCGACTTAACCCATTTGGGGCAGATCAACGCCCTGCTAGGCCCCGCCCCTCAAGATCTTTTGACGAAAGGGAGAAGGTCAGCCTCATTTTATCACGAGAGCGGTATGTGATTGTCCCTAATGGCTCTCCGGGGCAATGGCTACTGACACATGACCAGAAGAGTTGAAAGCCCGGTGCCATATACCCAGTGATTTCAGCCTTGAGAGCACGCTTACATGTATGGCTGGCGAGGAAAAGAGGCGATTCATCCACTTCGTCAAGAGAATGATAACCTGGCGCCCCGAAGATCGAAGCACAGCCAAAGAGCTTCTAGCCGACCCATGGCTCTACAAAGACTTTCCTCAAGAATAAAAATACAATCAAAGCAATAGAATCACAAAGACACCCAATCTGTACATCATTCCGTTCGTTTATCATTGGAAGAGTGTCTACCGCTAACATATAGCTGCCCTCTGTCCTTTATGTACTTTACTCTCATCATCCTCATACCGCCTCCTACTCGACGGCACAACAGCGGATGGATGCACTCCCCCCATGGAAGCCGGTATTCCCATATATGCTGGAATATCCTCGCTCAGCTCGGGAAAGTGCTGGAAAAAGTCCGTCGACATGGTCCAGGCGTTGATGTCGCGGATGCGCTGCTCGAAAAGTGGCGATATGTGGTATTTGCCCGTGTGCGCATTGTGGTAAAATGTATCCTGGAAAGTGTCCGTCCAGAGGATCTTTAGGTTGGTTTGGAGAAGCTCCCAGAAGGTGTTGGTGCAGTATTGGTGTTGGGAGAAAATGAGGCGTTCGCGGAGACCGGGCCTGCGGGTGGGGTTAGTTTTTGTGGTGGTGAATTCAATTGAGTTGCTTACCAGACGAAAAAGTCAATGCCGTATGAATGCGGTAGTGCTTGTGATGGTCTGTGGATTTGTTAGGTTTTGGCTCATTCACGTGGGAATTGGCTTGTCGCACCTATTCCAGTACCATCGCGGTAAAGTCGCGCGTCTCTCCATCGTAGGGTCGCCGTGATACGTGATCAATAGATGACATATCCTCATGGCAGCCAAACGCTCTGTATCCGCACAATTCGCAAAGCAGAGCTCATCGGCCCTGCGCAGCTTGCGCCACGTCGGCGTCATCTTGCCCGCGCGCTCGATGCTATCCCAGCCCTCGACCATGGCGCGCACGGGTATATCCTCGGCGTTGTACTCCTCCATGGCAATCTCGTCGGCGGAGAGCTTTGTGGGTTTGACGAGGACTTCGTTTATTGCGCGCCAGATGTTGGGCTTGACGTCGTGGTAGCCCGAGGCGCAGTTCGTCGGGCTGGAGCAGTGGCAGAGCACGGGGGCCTTGGGGATGATGACGTCGTCCTCTTCGGGTGTTGGGGGGAGGTTTGGGAGGAGAGGCTGGATGGGGATGAAGCCGTTGCCGGCGGGAGGGAGGATCGAGTTGTCGAAGGCCATGGAGGTAGGGTAGTGCTCTGTCGTCACGGCGTAGTTCCAGCCGTCGTAGGAGAAGGGGTCGTGCGGGGGAGGGTGGTTGATGGGGAGTTCTAGTATTGTAGAGTTGCTTGTTTCCGACGCTGCTCTTTGGGTCATGATTGGGACTATTCGTTCGTTTGGTGTTTGCGACTGCGACTGTGACTGTGATTGTGCTGGTCCAGCATAGGCTGGCGACTCGGATTTTGACTCTGATCGTCGCTCGCTCGTGGAGGTGGCGTTGGTGGTATCGCCAATGTGCCGACGGATCGTGGAGCCTAAAGAATCGAGGACCTGTAATAAATTGTCCCTCTCCTTGGTGACCTTGCCTAATTGGTCCATCAAGGTAGCTATTTGCGCATTAGAGTCGTCCTGTCGAAGGTTGTCGACCATGCTCTCCAATTGAGCGATGCGGCTCTTTGTTCGCTCTCGCGCCAGGCGTTGGGCCTTGCGATCGAGCTCCCGCTTCTTGAGCCGACGGGCTTCGGCAGTCGAGGTCTGGGTTTCATTATACATGATGATCGCCTTCAGGGATGGGACAAGAAACAAGAGGATGGGGAAAAAAAAGAGGCGACCGGACCAACAAGCAGACTTATATCCGTTGGAAGGGTGAGCTAGTTTACCGTTTACATCCCAGAATGAAATAGGGAGGATGAGATGGGATGAGACGAGATGGAGAGAGGGGTTCGTGGAAGTGAATCTGGGGAAGCGGATCACGGGCTTTTGATCGATTCACGCTACCCTCCTAGTCATTTAGTTTAGGTACCGACGAACGGTAGGTATGCTATAGCACCTTACCCAGCAGCCAGGGCAGACCAGACCAGACCAGGGAGCCTCCGCTTCGTCTATTTGGACTGTGCCTCAAGGCTCAGGCTCAGACTCATGCTCATGCCAGGGAAAACAAGCTTCAGCGCTAGAGCGCCACAATGGAGCTGAAAGGGATAACACCGAGATTTGGTAGGTGATGTAATCAGCAATAAGCAAACTAAACCCACAACGGCTGGCTCCGATTTGCCCGGCACAAGGATTAGGGTGCTCATTCGTGGCGTTGTCCGTTCAGCTCTAGTCTGCGGCCACATGTCTTTTGTCTGTCTCGAGTTTCCGGTTCTCAGGCAGTTCTTAAGGGCCAAGCCGGAGGCCCGCAGGATCTCCACGGGGCGCAACGTTTCGGTTGGATAAATGACTCGCAAACCAGTCCCGATTCACGTCTCAAAGTAACCTAACTTCACCTTGCGACGCGGCTCTGGTCATTCAAGATAAGATCCTGATCCTAGTTGTAGCTCGACACGCTTGGATCTTGGGTAACTAGAGGTGTCAACCATGCATGCGAGATTAGCGATTCAGGTTCTTGGTTGCTGGATACGGCGAGATCATGACGGCTATCAATCCTATTGACTGATACACGGCAGGGATCTCAGCTTTGCAGGAGTTAGGGCCAAGTATTGTTCCCTTTCGTATTGGGACGATCAATTGTGCGACGGACGTTAGTTAGATCCAAGAATTGGGATGAGATGGGATGTCACAAGGCGTGGCGTGGAATGTCAGTTTGGCGTTTGTTGCGCGTTCCCTTGACCACCAAAACGGCCCCCAAGGCCGCCCACTAAACGAAGTGCATTATCTTTGATGGATGGATGGAATTCCAGATAATACCATATCCAAGTCGTAATGGCATTCTCTGATCTCATTATAACGTCAAATAAGCGTTGAGCGGCGATGTCTCAAGTAGTCACACACAATGTCTCGTAAATTAATTTGATTGCCATTGAATTGAGGGCTGAACCATACCTGAGACTTGGGACCCCGAACCTGGTCGGGATATTGGAATTGCCGACCAAATGAATCTGCCACCAGATCAAGCCACTGACAGAACGCGCGTTTACGCCCCTAAGATCGTTCCCTTACACGAACTAGCGCGTCGACACTGTAGACGGTCTAGGCCCTTAGAGTCGGAGCAAGAGCCGCAGCGGATCCCTCTGAAACTGGAGCAGAGGCCCACTAGCCACTCGATCGAGTGTCCGCCCGTGGGTGGCTATTAACTACCCGGCGGCACATTTAGTTGACCCATCGGGGGTCAACGGAACTTCCGTGAGGAATTTCCGGCACGGCCTCCTAAACCTTTTTCACAGCACACCACCAACGATGAAACAGGTATTAGATAGGGCTGATCGTGGATTTATTCAGGAAATGAATCTTAGGGATTAGCATTTCTCTCCAGGGATCGTCGAGTAGGTATTTCCGTAGCAGCTGAACTCCAAGACACGTTCCCGTGGGATCGACACTGCTAGTATTCTGAAAGCTGTACCTAACGCCAAGGACCCATGTCGGACGCAATAACTTGATTGGGAGCCGACTAAGTTTGCGAGCCCGCCCCAACTTACGACGGAACAAGGACCATCTCCCGTCATTCAATAGAATTATATCGAGATGTCACCAAATTCCACTTTCCTGTCTCTAGGGAGATTGTCGCCCTCAACTTCTGTAGCTGTCCAGCGCCCCCTTTTTACTCCTGCTTCAGACCGACTTTACCGGCTTTACGTAGCCCGACGCCTCCAATGAGAGCACAGAGAAGCATGAATGAGAACATGGTCCAGAAACTTGCCTTGTAGCCCTGGAGAAGAGCCTCAGCTGGCTTCGATCCTGCATGTTGCTTGCTAACAAGGGTTGAAATAACCTGCATCACGGCTAATCCCATGGCATTTCCAAACTGGGACGCTGCGTTGAATACTGACCCAGCCACTGCCTGTTTGTCTTCGGAGAACGTTTCAGTGACGACTATCAGACCCACTGTGAAGAGCACGTCTGCTGAGAAGGGCATGAGCACCTGTGCGAAGAATGCAGCTGTCCAATACGTCCACGCAGGGTCGATGACTGCCATGAGCAGAGGCGAGATTGCTGTGAGGACAGATGTGATAACAACGAGCCATATAGCAGGGATCTTGTGGACGACCAGACCTGTTGTGAAGTTGAGGGCCACACCCACCACGACGCTAGGTAGGATGCGAATAGCTGCATTGAGAGCTGATAGGTGCTGCACCTCTTGGAAGCTAGGTCAAGATTAACAACGTGGGGGATATTACGAGCTGTCATTCGGGTTTAAAACTTACAACAGACTCGCAAATAGCTCTAGCGAGTTTATGACAGCGTTGGATAAGGCTATGGTCACGCAGATCGTGGTAAAAGAGTGGTTCCGCCAGAGCGCATTCGGTATCAAGGCCGGTAGACCCCTTTTCACCTGAAGATGCATCCAGCCGACAAAGAGCGGCAGGGCAACGAGGCTCAAGCTGAGAAGAACAATGCTGCTTGCCTCTTTGATGCGGTACACGTCTGTGCTGATGATGCTATGAAGTCGTCAGTTATGCCGCGCCGTTGAATTAAGACACGGGTGACGGTGGCGTACGCTAGAAAGTATGACAGCAGTGCCATGAAAGCTGAAGCGAGAAGAGTGCCGAGCCAATCAATCTTTGTCGCAACGCTCTGCATTACCTCCTGCAACGTTCCAAGCGGCTCGGACTTTGGCAAAGACCAGAAACCCACCGCGGACAATACAAGATTGATGCCACCGTAGAGAAACCAACCTGACCTCCAACCAATAGTCTCAACCAGCACTCCGCCAAGGACGAGCCCAAACGAGAAGCCAAGCGGCTGGCTCAACCCCAGACACGCAAACGCGAAATTCCTCCCCCGTCCCCGCGCCAGCGTCTTCGTCACGAGCGCCACAGAGCTCGAGAGATGCAGCGCGAGCGCAACGCCCTGTAGGGCCCTTAGCGCAACTAGCTGCTCGCCCGCGCGGACGAATCCGCAGGCCAGCATCAGCGCGCCGCTGAGGATGCACCCGACCAGATCGACGGACCTGGCGCCTAGCACGTCTGCGAGGGCGCCCGCGAGCAGCAGCGTCGAGGCCGTCGCGAGGCTCTGCACGGAGGACGGCCAGAAGGCGAGGGATGGGGGGAGGGAGAGGTCGGCGGTCATCTGGGGCAGACCCACGACGATGAGGCCGTTTGTAGCGCTGGCTGCAAAGTTGACGCCGGACAGTTGGAATGTCACTGCTATTTTCTGTAGACGAGATGCTGCTGGGGTGCTGTTGGCGACGGTGTTGAGTGGAGAGTCCACGTAACTCTGTGCCTCGGCAGTTGAGGGCAGCATATCCTCCAGCAGTGTTTCTGTCTGAGTGGCCATCTTGTTTCTCGGCAGTTCAAAAAATGTGATATATCTTTTCGACGTGATACTCTAAACTCCAATTATTTGTCGTTGTGTTTTATCTATGAGACATAAGCATAAGCACCATGTAAAACGTCAGAAGGGCGTGTAGAAGTGGCGCCCTTTTGATGTGGGGAATGTCATGCAAGGGAGACTCGTAGGCTCTTTTGCTCTCGAGGCGATGCGATCCAGGGCCCCGGAGTCAGCGCTAACATGGCTTGGGAATGACAGTTTAGTCGAACCCACTTAAACGAAGCCGAGGATTCGCATGTCAAAATCCATATTCCTGCGCGTAGTGGTTGCACCTTTAGTCAAAGATCGAGATAGTTTACAAGATCCTTCACTAGCAGGCACTCTTGGCCCCTAGCTGGAGGAATGATAAACAAAGCTATACTGGAATTGCAGTACTAATTCACTCTGTGAGAGATAAGACACTCTAGGATCTGAATCCACTTCACGGCTATAGATCCTTCCGGAGTGAAGCCCCGCCTAGCATCTTCATGAAGCGATCACGCTCAACTTGATTTGGCCGATGCCACCATTTATCCGCATCCACCTTGGCGAACCCCTGATCTTCCCATTTCTTCAGCTGCTTCGGGTCGATCTGGTGCCAGGGGACCCCGAGATCTTTGGAGACCTGATCCTTGATCTGATCCATAACCTGAATACTGCCCTCTTCACACTCAGGACCCTTCCCATCAACAAAGAAACCATCGTAGATTTTTTTTGTCTCCTCTTCGACTCTCTCCAAATGGCGCTCCATGCCATTGACCATTGATTTCTTGTTGTAAGCTACTGGCTTCATCCACTTGGCAACTTTCTCATAGTCGAGTTCAAAACCTGCGCTATCGTACGTCGGAGACCCATCTGGACCCTTGCGGTGACATCGATGCAGATCGTAGAATGAATACAACGGGTCCATATGTTTGTTTCTATGCTTGGGGATGTGGAACTTGGATAGAAACTCCTCACTTAGTTCGCGCTCCTCAGACCGGGGACGCTTGACGCGACCCGGCGTTGCTCGCGGGTCCCGGATCTGAGAGTGGTCGAAGTCGAACTCGAGGTCCTTCTCTGTGAGTGTGGGTTTCTGACCATCTGGTGTCGAAGGGCGAGCTTCTCTCGTCTTGACCTGTTTGGTCTTGGGCTCCGGCGCAGAGTCCGTCTTGCTTGACTGTCTCTTGTGACCACGCGCGGTGGCGTGATCCTCGTGAGTCTCGGTTCCGCTCCTAGTTTTCAACGTAATTGAACACAGATAGTGTTGGTATGAAAGACTATTGAAAGATAGGTAGGCAATTGAGCTAGTTGACTAGTTCAAATAAGTATAATGTAGGGAGCAATAGTTGCGTTGAAGTCGCTGGAAATCTCAACGTCATCATCGCTCATGGGGAATGTCGCAGCCACGTGACATGGCCGGACCGCAACATCGCGACAGCAAAATGCGTTTTCGGCCACAACTCTACCATTTCAAGTTAGAATGGAACATTCATTCGAAAGCAAAATCAATTCTGATCACCTTATTAAGTTCAAAAAGTTAAAAAAATTAGCCCATACCGAGGGTCGAACTCGGAATCTTCTGATAATCTTATTTAGACCATTGGGTAGTTAGTATGGAAATCGAACTTTTAAAGACTTTGTTACTCACAGTCAGACGCCTTAGCCATTAGGCCATACGGGCTTATTTATCCTACACTCGCTAACGTTTGCTAAATATACCTATTGCGCAAAACCTCGAAAGATGTTAAAAATATAAATAAAATTAATTCAAAATTTAAAAGGTAATAAATTAATAGACATTTAGTTTTTGACAAGTCAAGAGGTTCTTCTTATTCTTTACTTAAGTACATCATTCATCCTCATTCTTATTACCATCATCACCTTCACGATCCAGGCCTAGCAGATCATCTGTAAATCCTCCTTTGGCAATGACACCCAAACCACTGCTCTGAATTGCTCTTACACGTCTAATATCCAAGTATCGTCTTGGAGTCAGTGCAATATCCTCGTCCTCTTTGCCTTTGTCAATATAGTCCACCAAGGTGTTCGCTCTACACGCAGCACTATATCCATGGAAAAATGCATAAGCCTTAACTTCTTGATAAGTGGTGCCATCTGTATAGACAACCAAGAAAGCCAAGCGAGTGGCAGGGTCTTTAGGTAATGCACTTGTCGCGTAGTGATTTGGGTGTGTGCTGTTGTGGGGGCTGATCTCGATCCAGACGTCTACCACGTCATCTTTGACTTTGAGATTAATGTCAAACAGGATTCGACAATGCCCCACGCTGATTCGGCGGTGTTTATATCGCGTAGAGTTGGGCAAATTGTACCTGTACGGGGTAACTTTGTAGCGTTCCGCCTCCTCTGTCCACTTTGAAACTCCGCTGCATCGTGGCTTGTCTGAGACAGTCTTCCGTTGGTTCTCGGCTTTGAACATGTTAGCCAACGGATAATTGTCGCCATTGGTGATGCTGGCGATTATGGCTGGGTCAATAGTTGCTGCCAGATCCCCCATCTCTGGTTCCTCAGATAGTGAACTTTGCAATGCTGAGGAAAGATCTGTGGTAGCTGTAGGCACGTTCTCATATTTCTCTTCACCATGATGATTGTCGTCTTTATCATGGTGATCCTTTGAGATCACACCGGCATCGGGAGCACGTGAGCTACAACTTTCCAAGACTTCTTTGTCGCTAAGTGCAGCGAGCTCAGAATAAAAGGCCCTAGCTAGAGCATACATTTCAGGGTCGAAACGCTCATAGGCGCGAACTTCCTGCTTTCCACGTTTTAAATGAAGTTGACGCCAAAGCCAATTAGACCGTATCTTGCCCTCTCTCGCAAGCTTTGCTCGGCCGTGTAAAACCACTAACAAACCGCGGCTGAGAGTCCCAGATAGCTTCTCAAGCTGTGAAATGTCATCGAGACCCCTAAATCCTCGGTTCAAAAGCCAAAACTTTACCCCTTCAGGGATAGTTTGGGTAGTCATAGGCTTAGCTGTGCCGAGTCTCTCGGCCTTGATCTGGCAGAGAATATATTGTATCACGGTACTCGTTTCAAGGAATGCTGTACGTAGGCCTTCCACTCCTGTCATCTTTGCAGCAAAGCGCACTGCCTCTCCAATCTTGGAGTTGTGGTGGTAAGGTACTGCAGAAGGGCGTGAAGGCAACTCCGGACATCGAATGAAAAGTCTTGGGCAATTGTCGTCAAAATATATGGTAAAGTTATATCGCAGATGAAGTTCCGATTTTGTCAGGTTCTGAAATTCTCCACGGATCACCTGCTCGGCTCGAGGGCCGCATAACAGGACAATTTTGACACGGCTCGCCTCTACGAGTGTGCGATGCGACCCGTTGCGTGATGAGCAAGGCGTAACACCCGTGGGACAGCTCTCTTGAAGGGTCGTAAAAGGCATAAAATCATACGTCCAAACAAGGACATTGGATGCATCAAAGCCAAAGCCTCTAATTTGCCACGGGATTTTATTCTCTTGGTTGGGAATCTGATGCGAGGTCTTTGAGTAATCCTCTGCTGCCGAAACCATTGAGTAGTCCAATAATACTCCGATCTTTGCAGAAAGGTTGCCAGCGAACTTTGCTACCGGAGATGTGGCAGTAGCGTCAACGTCTGGAGGGTGATTCAATGCAAAGAAATCTGATAGAGCTTGGAAGTAGCCCTCCCCAACTGCAGCACGAAGGCAGTCCTTATATACTGGCAGACTCCTTCCAATCCCATCGTTTGGTAAGATATGCTGCATTGTCTTGGCTTTTGCCGCAGACCGAAACGACTGCTAATATCGAATTTGCGGGTCTGCGGATGCCGCCATTTGAGACTTTGAGACTGCTTGAAGATAGTCCCCGACAGCACTTGCCTGGGCAAGTGGTGTCATGACGTTCAGACCGTATCCTGATGCAAGGCCAGACTCATTGTCACATGTCGTAAGACTTCCGTGATGAGTAGAGAAGGCTCGACAGAGAACTGCCTCAAGAATGTTCCGTTGGATTATATCCCCCATCGTGTCAGAATCCCCTTCTCCACGAGGGAATTCCCATAGTCTGATGAAATTGGCTGTGCGTCTACCATTTCCTAGCCAGACGACGAAGTAATGGAGGCATGAGGTGTCTCCTCTCAACATCGACTGGCTATGCTGACTGAAAAGCCTTCGGCGTGCTTCAAGACTCTGACCAACATACATTCGAATGTAGCCGGGATTTCGACTGTCTGTCACGTAGTCTAGGTACCCCATAGACGTCCCGCTCCAGTCATTGCCATCCTTGATTTGCAAGTCCTTGATTATGCCCAGGCGCTCCCGCGTGACCAATTTCCCTTGAAGATGTTTGATCTCGGGGCAAACAAACGATATGAGATAAGCGGCCAGATCTCTTGAGCCAAGCTTGCATTGGATGACATCCCTTTGGGAAGGGGTTACTCCAGGAAGGCGATTACTGAGGATTTCGGCAATAACGGATCGACATAATTTGGTCAGATCGGGGAACACGAGATCTTTTTGCAGAACAACGGCCTAGATTTGTTATTTCAAGAAATTAGTACATATTAAGTGAAACTGAATAGTCATACAGGGCAGGAAATATCAACCTCCCTAACCTCGCTTGGTACATCGAGCCAAGCAAGCGAATCGTGACTCGGTGGAGTGAGCGTTATATTGTACGACAGGTCACCTTCGCGTGACTGAATACGTAGAAACGATGTCTGATTTCGCGACTGATTTCGCGACTGATTTCGCGGCTCATTTCGCGGAAGACGGCCATGCTTGAATGTGACAGGTGTTGCCCTGTCTCCATTGGGACAACGTTCGGTTTTATGGCTCTTATCGCCACAAAACTTGCAAGGTGTTGCTAGTGGACATTGGTGGATGGAATGACCTCGATGGTGGCAGTAGCTGCAATGATCGCATTTGGTTCTCCCGCAGCCTTTAGCTCGACAATAACGGTCTTCTAAGTAGATTGAACCCATGGCTGGAGGTTGAAGAGACGGTAAACAAAGGTGAAGTGGAGCATAGCTTGAGCGTTTACGGATTTGAGGAATTGAGGATTTGGTAGCCTCCCGCCGGGAAATCAATATTCCGGGCACACGATTTTGCTATGCTAATTACATCAAACTTTATAAAAGCAGAGTCTATTCTGCCTGGAAGAGGGAGAAAGTTAATGTGTTATTATGACCGAGTCACTTGTGTCGTCACATATCTCACCATCGATTGAATTTATCTATGTTTCCATTACGACTTTTCTTCCATATCTGTAGCATCGTGTCCATAGCGTCATAGCTAGTCGACTGTCTTTGTGTTTCTTTCGTCGGCTTGTGATATGATTGTCTGCTTGTGCTAGCGCAACAACATCTTGACTCTGCACAAATAGTTTGGTGGCAGTGATGATGGTAAGCAAGATAAGGAGTTATCGAAGGGAGGACAAAGTCTTGCAGTATCATTTTCTGAGGTAGATAGGTGCGTATATGCGTCAACAAGGTGGTATACTCGTACCAAAACTGCCTCCTCCTTTTATCCGTGCCGACCCATTACACGGTCAGATTAGCAAGCTCAGTCAGTTTCTGAGCCTACATCATCTGCTCGTTCAGGGTCCCATCGTAGATAATCTTGCATGAGTGGCCAGAAGTAACGCTTTATAATGCCTAGGAGGATCTTGGGCACCTCAGAATAGCCCTGGATCTCGTTGATGGTCATCCCCTGGCCAGTAGAGCGATTGACTTGGAAGGGTCTGAACCACTTGCCAATTACAGCTTGGCCGACATTAATCTCAATGACAATTGGATTGTGATCGTTACCAAACAGCAATAGCGAGTAATAAATACGAACGCAATGTGCCTATAGGAGCTTGCAGATAAACTCTTCTTGTTCTTCCATGATGATATGCCAGAACGTTCTGAGCCACCTACCGATCATAATACGGCAGAGCTTTACATTTGGATTCAAATGATCGCCAAATAGTAGCTCATCAGCAAGAAATACGAATGCCTTATGGATCTGGACCTCGGCGTGGGCGCATCTCGGCCGATAAGATGCTTATACCATACAATAGTCCAAGATAAGGTTCGTCACGAGGAGAGAAAATCACTGCCGAGCTGATTTTCGAAAACACTCCATCTCTTTTGAGGCCTCGGGGGGGCATTCTGCAGTGACATCTGGTAGCCAGATAATCTAATAGAGTAAACTGAGTTATATAAAGCGGTACACATAAAGGGAAGAAAGAAATATTCTGACTTACCTGGAAGGATGAAAGGACTAAGGTATAGTTAGAATAATTTAAGGTAAGTTTTGTAGACTTTGATTACATATTTCCTGCAGCTTGGGGCAAAATTAGAGTTCTCTTGCTCTACTTGCAAATATACGGCATGGCAAATTGGTTTGTCTATGGCTAGCTTATTGACAAACGTGATATGAGCTTGCCAGATATTTTGCCATTTTACAATTAAAATATGCCAATCCATTTTTGCGACAGCAAAGACGTTTTCGGCCACAACTCTACCATTTCAAGTTAGAATGGAACATTCATTCAAAAGCAAAATCAATTCTTATTACCTTATTAAGTTTAAATAAGTTAAAAAAAAAACCCCATGCGGGATTTGAACCCGCGATCTTCTGATTAGACTAATTTATTAGCAAGATTCAACGCGGGGTATTCCAAGTTACTCACAGTCAGACGCCTTAACCATTAGGCCAATGGGGCTGTTCTATTAGTTGCTTAGCAGGGACGAAAATTGCAAATAAGAAAGGAGCGCCTTATCGAACTTGCCAATTAATTCCCTGTAACTTGTAGCCATTCTCTCTTTAAATACTAACTTCTAAAATAAAGATATTAATAATTTCCTAATATTTACTATTATATATATTTATTTCTGGCAATATTATAGAAAATTTATTTCTAGATTAAACTATTATCTTATTTATTTACAGTGTTTAATAAAGTGCAAGCTACTTCTAACTGTTTTTAAGTCTATATTCAATTGCTGACATTTCTGCAATAACGCCAGAAGCCAGCCTACAATCTCCCATCGAATTAGATGGTCCTCCTAAAAGTAACACTAAACTCAAAGATTTGAGGCAGACATAACAGAAAAGTTTGGTGCCATCTTTACTTGCGTTATCCGTGGCATTAACAAAAGGCTTCTGATGCTGGATATATCGCGTCTTTTAGCTTACTGAAAGAAAATAGCAAATGATATATCTCTTCAGCTGATTTATCCAGAACGCTCTTCCAGATTCCATCCCAGTCTTTCCAACAGTATAGGTAGCTGGCCACGGAGCCAACAACATTTAGAAGGATGTCGCCATCCAGGCAGCTTAACGGATATGCCTCTCTGTCTTTGACCATCTCTGTCCAGTTAGTATCCCATTACTTCATTTCTAAAGCTCCTTGTCTATAATTATTTTCAATAAGTACACTGGTGCTCCTCGTCTTTAAATCAAGCCTCTTTGGCCAGCCCCGTTACCGTCATCACTTAATCTTAAAGGGGGAACATTTAACAATAGCGTTTATACAAAGACCTAGAGGAAGGCATAGCCATTTTGAATTAAAGAAAGGTTTTCAGAATCACCTGCTATTAATTGTTACAGTGTTGACTGGGTTTATCTGGAGGCGGATGACCAAGAGTGAGTTTGGCCTGGAGTAGGAAGAAAGTGCCATATTGCTAAGCAAATTGTTAAGCTTACCTTTAAGGTTACGTGTTTCAGAATGTCCTGCACTATCGATCTTGAGCTGCTTTCTACTAGGTGTGGCCTTACTTAATCCCTTGTGCTTGTGTAGGTTCATGATGAGCAAGAGTGTTCGAGAACCGAGTTGGACTCTGAGACCTTCATTTTACTCGACATGAGAACATCCCAAACCCGATGTGGTGAAGAGGCACTTGCACTAGGTTTAATACGGCTGTTCCGAGTTTTTCTACTCATTCAGGTCACCATGGCAGTTACAAGGTCTTATAGTAGTAGAAAGATTGAATGTAAGCAGTAATGCTTAATAGTAAAGAGGAGGATCTAGGGTGCCTCAGAATAACCCTATATCTCATCAGTGTAAGTAGAGGGATTAACTGAAAGGCTTTTAAACAATCTGTTAAAGGTAGTATCGGCGATATTAACCTACCTCGGTAAACAATAATTATCCTCTTGAGCGAAATGACAGTCTATAAGAACGAAAGGTTCCCCCACATCGCGGTAGCGCGCCTGATTGAGAGGACCTTCTGAAGTCCGTATAATTAAGGACAGTCCTTCACCTGAGGTATGCATTATGATAGTCTCGCGATTTCTAGGAGTTTAATCGATTTAAGAGACTTAGACGGCCTGTCAGATTCCCTCATGCTTCTTGTCGTTTACGGACTCGACATGCAGCCAAGGAGCCTTGCTCTTCACTCCCTTCTGGGTATCAATAAATTTCAGTCGAGTATGCTTTCGGTGCTCCTGTTCGCCCCAATTCGATACCTCTCACTGGCTCTGCCACAACCGCACGAACGTCATTCTTCGCGCATCCGCCAGGCTTCGCCTCCGCTTTGAGAGTGATATATCACCGGATTTGCCCAACCTGACAAACGGTCACTGAGCTCGACATTTCCAGGCTCCGCCTCCCCTCTGACAGAGCTGGCTCACCCGCTTAGCCTCTCCTTTGACGGCAGTCGCTCCCCAGCCTTGCCTCTCCTTCACGGTGGTCGCCCCCGGCCTCACCTCCCCTTTGACAGTGATATCTCACCGGCTTGGCCAGCTTCGCCTGACCTCGCCTTTCCTTTGACGGCGCTGTTTCATCAGCTTCTCCTCATATCTAAGAATGCTCTTCCGGGCTTGTTCCTACCTTGTGAGGAGTCAACCATCAGTCATCGCTACTACGCCTTCCTTATGATGGTTTCATCTCACCAGTTTCACCTCGTGTCATCAGCTTCACCTCTCCATCATGGATACTACTATCCCCTATCGACTTATTTGGATAGGAGGGCCTTGGTTACTACCCTAATGTCATGGTTGTCTGCGATGTTGGAAACCTTCGCTAGGGTTAAGAATGGCCAGTGACGGATCAATTCAAGCCCGATTTTCCTTGCCCGTGTGGTCAAACGGCTTAAAAAGTGTGATGAATTGGGTTAGATCAGATTGTGCAAGGCGGTGCACGCTGAATTACGCGCTGGTAGCTAATAACAACACCATTCGCCAGCTGGTGCAGTAGTTAGGATCATAGAGAACCAGACCTGTTCGCTAAGGCATTGACTTAGTATACTCACTTTCGATGTGAAACAAGGCAGCCATAAACCGTTTCATAGTGCGTAATGCAATAGAGAGTTGGAATATGGCTGTGAAGGATACCTAGAACTAGCCTTTTAGGTAGACTGAATAAAGAAACCTAAATCTAACTGTTTATATCTGATATTTCTACTATTTAGAAATGATGCAAATGTTATCTAAGGTCTTGTCGTGAGTGCCTTAGGATAAAGAGTAAAGAAGACGGACATTCAAAATAGGATGTCTTCTGACCATAAGAGACTTGCAACTGGGATCCCGAGTTGTAGAGTTATTCAATCGAATGCGAAATACTTGCGGACTCCAGTAACATGCCACATAGTCTACCATAGTAAGTAAACGCAAAAACTATTTATATTATTGGCAATCTCAACAAAGTCAACAAGCCAGACTGTAATACAAAGCCAAACTACGCATCTCCTTGCCAGGTGCCTCTACCCCATTCATCGTTTTAGCACTAACCCCACAGTCTACTGATCCCCTGTCAACTCAGCGTGTTCCTCATTCTCGATCTCGGGATCAAATGGGGGTACTTCCATGGTCTTGACGAATGCGCCCTCATTTCTGGATACATTCAATGCGATGCCAAGCTCCTCGAGTGGCTTGCCATGGAGAAATGAATCCGTGATGGCTTCGCCCTGGGAAGCTCGAGACCATGTACACACGCGTTCTAGAGGCCTGCAACACTGGCATGAGTGATCATTCAGGTCATAATTGCACTTGGTCGTCTTGGAGTGTTAGCTCTGGTATCTAGCCAGGACCATGAGTACGTACTGTTCGCTGAGATAAACACATATCGCATGCTTTCCGCCCATGTGGTAAAAACCCATGTCCAGGCTTTTCCCCAATGCGAGTGTCCGGATACTGCTGCGGTGGGAAGAGTTCAAGAAGTCTGGCTTTGTTATGGTCCATAGTATAGTTCTCAGGCCATTGTAAATGCTGGGGCTCGATTAACTCTAGTACTCGCTTTTGCTGAAGATGGTCGTAGCGAAGGAAGTTGACTTTGGATCGTAGCATTGGGGGCAACCAGTCAGGGCTGTTGGTATAGGTCACCTTTTCGACGTCGCAGAGCACACCCATCCCAATACGAAATATACGCAGGGCGGGGTTCGTCTTGCTAATAGCCTCCCAGATTTGTCGTCGCTCAAGATAGTACTGCTTCCATTCAGTCTCTCCCTCAGGAAGCCACTGGATCATAATCGCAAGAGATTTAAGCTTCTCGAGTTCTGAGTTCCGGCCAATCTCGGGAGGAAACCGAACAAGGCGCATGGGATGAGTGAGATACTTGCCTTCCTTATTCTTGGCAACCTCGACCACGAGGTGAACTGGTTGTTTGTGTTTGAAGCCTGCTTCCTGGCCAACTTTAAGGGGAATTTGAACTACCATGTGATTACCCCACCAGACATGTATGTCATCCCTTTTGACATGGATGACTCGACGTGTGCGATAAACGTAAGCCTGCTTAGTTGAGTTGTACCATGACGTCCAAGACTCTTCGACTTTAGGGTGTTTGAAGACTGGCGTCTCCCAATTCAAGCCATAGGAGTAACCAGGGCCCCAACCAGTTCTAGAGCGAATTGGACGCATCAGGCGGTTAAACGTCAAGCAGGCAGTGAAATCGCCGTTGTATGATCCAACAACGTTGGGGCCAGAAGGAGAGAACAAGACTGTGTACCAACTCTTGAGGAGACAAACCATAGAGAACTCGGCGATGTCGAGAAAATTAGCCGGAACGTCAGAAGTGGTTTGTATCACGATTGGCACCATTATCATCTTCTTGGCCTTTGAGGCGAGACGATAATGAACGCTGTTATATCCATTCCTGGCGTTCTTTTCATGTTCTTTCTTGCGCGCATAGAAGTCGATGGTTTGACCGACGTAGAAGGCACATTCGTGTAGAATGTCCTGTATTTTGCGGCCACCGAAGTCACTGTAAATGATGACATAAATTCCCGCTTCCTTGGGCCATTTGGAAGAAACCGGGGTCAGCTTTTTCAGGTCCTCAATCTCGAATTTGCCGCTTTCCATGATTCTACGGGCTTCCTTTGTAATACCTATAGCATCGCAGTCAGCGTGGAGTCATGCAGAGGTCACGGACAAAAACTTACACTTGTTGACAAAGTCACCATACTCAGATGCTCTCTTATGGAAGAATATACTCTTGCTGGATTCTGACATTCCAGAAAGAGCCTCGTTGAGCGTGTTTCCGTCGCGTTTGATACTCTGCCAGAGATCGCGAAGTGTTGCATGAAGCACATCTTGAGGTGGAGAGGCGTTTTGGCCTGTTCCGGTCTGACCTTGGCCGACGTTGCGAACCTGGGGGAGCTCGATTGGAAGAGGATCAACGCGTTGAACGCCCTTAAAGAGAACATCAAGGGTTACCCAGCCTAGATGAGAGTTAGGATACACATTTTGAGGAGCTTAGGATAAGTAGTAATGAGATAAATATAACTGACCTCGCAAATACGTTGCGCCGTGTGGACGATGAACGAAGCCGTAGCCTTGGTTTGTGCGAAGGACCCATACCTCGTCGCCTTTCATTACCCTGAGGCCAGGAACCAGGCCTTGTGGAAGTGTATGATCGCGCGGGTTCCAGTTTTGTGTGACTAGACATGCCCAGCCATTTACCACATCGGGGTCAATATCGGCAAGGTTCTCATCAAGATGAGAAGGGATCTCAGCGGGAGGATCGGGGTGACGGGGACGAGCGGGCGACTCCAGGCGACGATAAGGTGATTCTTGCCGACGAGAGGGACGAGAGGGTGACTCCTCTCGACGCAAAGGGGACCCCAGGGAATCGAAGCCTTGAGGGGGGCGTGAAGGCGATCCCTGGGAAGGACGAGAAGACGATTGCTGAGAGGGCTCTCCCTGTTCATCACGGGTAGTCAGATTCTTGAAAAAGCCGGAAATTGACTTCTGAGTCGGATCAGGAGGTCCTCGAGAGAGACGAGAGGAGGATCCTCTAGAAGGGCGAGATGGTGGTGCTTGAGAGGGACGTGAAGACGATCGCTGGGACGGCTCTTCCTGTTCATCGCGGGTAGTGAGGTTCTTGAAAAAGCCAGAGATCGATTTCTGACTAGGATCAGGAGCTCCACGAGAACTACGAGAGGAGGATCCCTGAGGACGGGAGGGGGGCCCTTGAGCAGGAGGCCCCTGAGAGGGGCTCGCTCCTTGATCGCGAGAAGAGAGGTTTCTGAGAAAGCCAGAAATCGATGCCTGAGTAGAGCGAGAAGGTGGCGCTTGAGAGGGATTTGAGGAGGATCCTTGAGAAGGACGAGAGGATGAGCCCTGAGAGGGGCGAGAAGGGGAATGCCCTCGGCGATTGGAGAAGGAACCCCGATAAGACATCTTGCTGTTGATGATGATGTTGAAGAAGGAATTGCAAGCAAGCCCCCGGCGAGACAGCGTTGTTATGCTTCAAAGTCTCATCAGTGTAGTCTTCAGAACGAGCGCCGGTGTACTGTGTTACGTTAGTCCCTGAATCACTGCGCTCGTATACTATTGTCACATAACGCAGTCCATGAATCACTGCATTATTAGAAGACAAATAGGTTCATGTCGAAAGCCATCGTCATGTTGAGCCAGTAAGTCGGTCCGGAAGGAAATGGGACACGAGCCGTCATGTCATCAACAGTGACACTAACTCAACAAATTAATCCTCGTATTGCACTTTTTCAGCGGGGAGAAGATACGTGTCGTATCATCCCATGGCTTTAATGGCCATAAGCCTGACAAGCATTCAAGTCCATGTGTACATCGGTTTGTCACCAAATTCCCCTCAACACTTGATGATTCAGTGATTTCACCGAAAGCCTCCACCAGTAGGAACTCGGAAGTTTTACGTAAATTGAAGTTGTCCCTCAGCGTCTTCGACGTGACAATTCTCTGTGGAATTCTGCTCCAAAACAAATCTTCCCGAGTTATCAGCTTAATGGCGGTAGCTACATGTAGATTTGAAGGTTTGGTTATCAGAGACTGGACGACTTGGCGGTGTCCCAAGGCCTTCCCGCCAATCCCTCTATTGACGATATCCGTAGTCAATGACGAGATGTAAGCCTTTCTGAGGAGCCTAAGGTCTTCCTATTAATGATCAAGTCAATCCGGCTACAATATAATGGTATCTGGCACGGGGGCCTGAACGAGAAGATGGGGGAAGTCCAGAACCTGACTCAGATGGGGAATCTGATTATGCTTTGGTGTAACGAATCAGCGCGGGTAAAAGAGGAGGCACTGTTGATACGGGTACAACGCCCTACCCAAGCACCTACTTGTTTGCCACCAAAAACAAGAATCTACGAGAATTTATCCTTCCTGTGATAGCTCCTTATCTGTTTCTCACCCATCATTGCTACAACCAGTGTATTTGTGCCAACTCAAGATCTTGAGAACTAACACAAGCAGGGAAAGAGGTTGCATTCCGCAAAGCTACGTAGCAATCACGAAGACATTCAAGACCGTAGCCTAGATACACCCACATCCCTAGCTGAGTCGAATAGGCATTTCCTATGAGTGCTCCTACGAATGCTGTCCTGTCAACGCCAACCCCCATATATCGATGACTAACCACCATGACCCAATGAGTACTCGAATTTGAAAATCACCTATTTAATCATTATATAAGTAAGACCATTTCTTTCATGCAAGCTAAGTCTGTTGCACACGTCAAATCTCTTTGTGTTCAAGTACCTCGCCTGCCTAAACTGGTCCACCGCCAACGTGACGTTGCCTCAAATTCCCAGCCTCGTCATGCTCTGCGTCCCATTTCTCAATCTCAGTAAGAGGCACCCTAACTAAGCGATGTGTATTGGCGCCGTTTGTGTCTACTTCGAGAACTTCAGGCCGAATTGCGTAGCCCTTCCATTTGGGAATGATATAGATCCAGAAGACGTAGTACACACCACAAAGAATCATGCTGGCAAGGTTGCACGATCAGTTTGGGGTCCAATTTTTGGTAATAAGGGAGGAAAACTTACATTGCAATACCGACTACACAATAAGTTGCATACCAGAAACTCACGTCGCCAGCGTACGGGCCGCCCTTAGGAGGGTACCATGGCATGACGATGATGAAGATCTGGATGAGAATGAAGAATATAGCTGCAACATCCCAGGCTTTGAACTCTGGAGCTCCTCGTCCAACGCGCTTGTTGTGACGTCGGACGATGTAGAGGCCGATACTCATGGCTAGGAAGAAAAGGCCTTCGGGATATGTCTTGAGACTCACGACTGGCTCAGAGTCAGCAGGACGGACAGCAGAAGCTTATGATATGAAAGACTCACCAAATTGGAATGCATCACCAGCAGGAGGGGCTACGATCATGATGAACGTCATGGCCCACTTCAATAGATAGGGTCCGATGGGTGTTCCAAAGGGCTTTGTTGATACCCAGAATGTAGTGAAAGGCAAGACTCCTTGGCTGTATGTCGAGTCAGTAACGAAGAGAAGTTATGGGGATATGGCGACCGACCGTCCAATCTCACGAATCAACCTTGAAGCACCAATCAGTGTTGCGAGAAGGTTACCGTATGCACTGAGGAGCACAAGAACATTCAACGCTGTCACAGCACCACTGGTACCAAAGACACTGGTGAAGAATACCGATGCCGCGATCTCATTGGACTCTGCAAACTCTTCCTTGGGGACTAAAGGTTCGCATCAGTACATCAGGTCGTGAAGCTCAGAGCGCGGTGAAGGTTACCAGCAGAGAAATACGCGACGTTGCACAGCATGTATAGGACAGCAACGAGAAGGACAGAGATGAAACCGTACTTCTTAATCGTGGGGATCGGTCTCTTGACTTCGTTGACTACATTGAAGGCGTTGGCATAGCCAGTGTATGAGAAGACGATATTGACCAAGGCGGTTGAGAGGTCGTTGCCGTTGTTGGTTGTGCCCTCGAAGGCGTTACGGAAGTTAGCATTTGGATCAGGGATTCTGGAAACGTTGCCCCCGAGAACCACAAAACCAGTAATGGAAATGCTGCAAAGGTTAGAGTGGGAAGATTGAAGAGGTGGTGAACTCACAAGATGAGGGTGATGATCTTTAAGAAGCCTAAGACGTTGACAGCCCAAAGGGAGTATTTGTTGTGAGCAATCACGCCTGAATTTGTATTAGTCAACTCATGCTTTTGGGTTCTAGAGATACTCACAAATCACAGCTAGTGTGTACGCAGCGATGGCAACGCCCTTCATTTCCCAGTCACTGGGCGTCTTCCCAGCGATTCTCCAGAGATATCGAGACAGTACTACACAACCAGTCAGTAACTGACAACCCAGAATACTACTGGCAACTAACCGATAGCATTGCTGCTGCTAAAGGACAAGACAACAGATTGTACTGCATACGCAATGGGAAAGAAATGCTTTGGACGAGGGTATGCTTGTTCGAGGTAGACGACTTCGGCTCCGGATCGGCTCGGAAAATAACTGGCAAACTCAAGATACACACAGAATCCGGCAATAGCCATGATGAAGCCGATGAACCAGTAGATCAAAGCGAGGCCTATTGATCCTGTTGCGTTGAGGATGCTGCCAGCTACAGTGAGTTAGTACGCTGATTCTAAGTCAAAAGGGGAGGCAAGGGTACGTACGCGTCGAAAAGATACCAGTACCAATCATCTGGTTTACATTCAAGAAGATGATGGTCAGCCATCCAACATGATAACCCAGAGGTGAGTTTGTCTCGACAGGCGCGCCGATAGCCTCCTGATACGAAGCCTTAGCGTCATTTCCGCCCTGCACACGCGTAAAAGCAAGGTTTCCATCGCGAAGAAGCGCAGGATCAGAGCTATCCGATGTATAGTTCTGATCGACATCAATAACAGCCGGTTTTGCCTCCGGCTGAGGACGCCATTTCGATAAAGAAAAGCCCATGGTGGGACAATAATGGAGATAATTCTTAAGATGGCGAGGCTCTGGTGCGAGCAAGCCAGTGCAACCTCACATCTTTAAACATTTCCTCTTGTTAGTAGCTATCGGGATATTTCAAGATACGAGTATGTCGATCCCTTCGCCCCCGGTTCCATGTCGATTGCGTGACGCTAATGACCTTCCAGACTGGTAGAGCACGCCATAGGCCAAGGCGTTGACGCCAATTCAGTGTTACGCTGACAAGGACCAAGAGGATCGACGAAGGACCTTTTGGCAAGCCAAGACACTAAAGAAGGTGATTGTAACGTTGATTCGAAGGTTTCAGTCAAACGATAAGCTGTAGGAATACGGTCTAAGTCTTCAAGAGGAAGTTGTCAAGACCGAAGCCAAGATTAGTCTGCATCAGCGCCCGTGGCTTGCATTTTGCTTTTGGCTAAACTGATCAGTGCAAGGACTTTAAAATAAGCATAATGTTAGTCTAGGTCGACTGTGTCACGGGTCGGACTTTGTTTGCAGTAAGTCCTCGTATCAGACCACGTAAGTAATGGAGGACAGCGGTGTTTACGGACACAACGGGATGAGAGAACAAATGCTTTGATTGACCTTGGGACATAACATCTGATAGTCAGATCATAGAAGATATTAGTACAGTAGGCCATTAGAAATTTTACTTGTAAAGACTAGGCTGACGAGACCCATAAGGTAAAATGATGCGAGGGTAGTTATGACATAGCAAAGTTTCCAAAGAGGGGGGAATATGATGGGATAGATGCAGAGGCGGGTTAACAACGTAGAAAGAAGGATGATCCTGAGACCAAGGTGTTCAGATACACAAACACATGCAACTCGCCTACAACAACTCACCGACCTCCTCAGAGTGCTCGCGAAAGGTTTCACGCCAGACAGAATTTGTCTGACGAGCAGCACTAGCCATCGCCTGTCTCAACCGCTGTTCAGAGGAACTGACTCTTTCCCTCGAGGTGGACGGCTCATCGACTTGCATAACGTCCTCGTCGCTCACAGTGAAATGAGCCATCTGCCCTAAAGAAACCTTCGAGGAAGGAAAATTCATCTCGCAATGACTCTCATTCTCCTGCAGAGACTCCTCGTCGTCTGAGGGGGGGATCGTTGTCCTTCCATTGATGAAATCAGAGAACTCCCAAGACCTCACGGGGGATTCTCCAAAGTTGTGTCTGCTGGATGTGGTGTTGGATTCCTCGCTGGGGTGTCTAGTGAGGAATGGGCCAACTTTATCGTCACCATAGATATCTGAATCCTCGCCTTCATCTGGGTAGAATCGGCCAGTGGGAGGGCCATTGTCTAGTGACATGGACCTGCTACCGCGACGATACGTCTCGCTACCTTGGCGCTGTGGCATGTGCTGAGACAGATGAGCACTGGTATGCCTTGATTCAGATTCCATGGCCTCGCGGACCAAAGCATCTCCGATATCGCCAGCGTCGTCATCGCTGTTGGGT